GCTCATTTTTAGTAGGTTTTATGCCAGCAGTTTGCACAGAAAAGTAACCAAAGTAATTTTTATAATTTTAGTGTTTGATATATTTTAATTTTTTTGTATGTTTATAAATTTAATTATTTATTCAAAATCCTTTTTTTATAACCACCGAAGAAAATGGTGACTGTCAAGCGACTATTGATATCGACGCTATAAGTTTTACTATCATCAATTATATAATACATTTCTAAGCGTAAACGGTAACAAGTCCTGTAGAAAAAAATACCTTTTAATAATCTAACAATCTCTTCCCCTCTTTAGATATAGTAGTGTACTGATGAGCAATAGCAAGAAAAACAACTCATGTTTTTGCATACCTGGATTACTAGAGAATTCTGACATCTTACGCTTACGGCTATTTTGAGACTGAGAGTCTGTATCCGTGGATATTTTAGTCGGATTTCCTGATGTAGCATCAGCTTTCATTGCACAGTCACTACTATGGGGCGTTTCTGAAACAAGCTGCTCGTCGTGATAAGAGTTTGTTCTTTGGTTGTTGTCAATTTCTATAGAAGGCCCTGCAAAAACAAGTTTTGGTTATTATAACTGAAACTTAAGGCTCAGTCAATTCCAGGTGTGCTCATTCCTCCCTGGGGCGGAAATTTCATGGGCATAATAACTTGCACAGAAATCACAAAGGAGCAACTCTAAATTCGTTAGAATGTCTCTCACGATTCTCTCGTACATGTATGTTCTCTGTCGGCGAGCTCATTTGGTAAAAAAAGCACTTTAATTTCAAAGGCGTAATCATCCTCATATTCTTCGCGTGTGCTCTAAGTGTATAGTGATGACAGGGTACTATGTGACATTGAAATATGAGGCAAAACCAAGAACTATTGCCTGAAAAGTGTTTGCAACTTTAAGGGACGGACCATTAGAAATAACCGGAGGGGGGGTGGCAATTCCCAAAATAAATTCCTGTCGTTTATCGGACCGCGAAAAAAGTAGTGTTTTGTCAATTATGTAATTTAAGTTGTTATGTAAGCCTTAGCCGGGCACTCTTTCGCCGCAGTTCACTCAACTTAAAAATTTCTAGACTGAAATGACACCAGTTTGAAACTTCACGAAGTCAGATTTAAAAAAATGTTTTAAAATATGCGTCATTTTAAATTTTGACTCGTTGGAATGCTTCTAGGGACCAGTAACTTACTGCCCGGCGTCAGATAAAGGCTTTTAATCGGCCTTTGAATGAGTTTTATTGTTTTAAATTGCCAAGTAGTAGAATGAGTTGAAATTGTTGCTAACCCGGTTTTCAAAAAAACCAGGTACATATATTAGATTGTGTATTCCTGGGATAGAAGCTCAGCGGCCGGTGTTCTATTTCTGCTCGCTCTCGCGCGCCTCCGTGCTGCTCACACTTGGTTAAAAATAGACAGAAATGATTTCTACGCTTGCTGTCTACGAAGATACCTTCATGGTCGTCAGTCATGGCTTCCATCCTCTGAGAAGCGTTGCACTTTGATTCTAAGGAGCTCCGGGCCTTTAGAGAATCTTCTGCTGCAACAAAATGGAGAAAACATGCTATTGCAGGGATTATGTGTGTATAACTATAATCATGTGAAGTGCTGCAGATAACGACTATGACCGGAAGGTATGACAATCGCTCTCCTCAGGCCATTCCGCTGAAATTACCTCAGGACTTACAACAGTTGTCAATGTAAACAGCCAAGATTGCAACATTTAGCTGGATTGTTGCTCTAAATGCTCTTTCACTTATATTGAATGTTATGAAAAACAAAATTTTAACCAGTTACTAACCATTTTATTTGCTCATTAAAATATTTGATACAGAAATAAAAATTGTTCCATAAAACTTATTAAGCCAAAATACATGTTCCCAAAAAAAAGCTCTACTAAGACTGCCCTACTCACCTGCGTTTTCCATGAAAGCTTTCTTACAAATTAAGTAGTTTTCTTCTTCTATACTTGTCTTCAACCTGACATTGTCCATCCCGAGCTTTCTCTTCAGTTCATCAGTCACCAGGAAACTTTCAACGATGTCATTAAGGTAACCAGCACAGTAACCATTCCACAGACTTTCAAGACTCTTCAGAGTGGTGCACTGCACAGTTATTATCAAAGATCCTGATTTCACCATCATTACGTTCGCTTCAAAAATCTTTTCGATAAACTTAGTAAGGCGGTCTACACTACTATCAAATGGCAATGACGAAAGATCTTGGTGTCGTCGATACTTATGAATCGACTGTTCTAATTCCTCATTTAATATTCTTTGTTGTTCAACAGTTAAATCTTGGGTATTCGAGGAAATTAGAATTTTGATCAAGGCAGTAGTAACAACAGAGTCTGAAAATTAATAAGAGGAAAGTTACACGTTTTTTTCAAACTATAGCAAAACATTCAGTACGCACAATAACTTAACACTTATTTATTTTATTTACACAAATTTACGTTGTTAATATAATTTTTACTGTTACGTGAGAGGTTCCTTCCTCAGGGAAGATGCACTTTCACGACTACTATCTTGAAGGACACATGCTTCTTTAAAAAAATATTTCGCTCTCCTCAATTGAAGTATACCTGAATTTAAGAGACGGCTCTAGTCAAGGTACTCATCATACCCAAAGAGGTTTAAAAACCTCTTCCACAAAGAGCCCCCACAAGTCAACTTAGTTAGGGCCTTATCACAGATTCACAATATTAGCTACATACTTGAATTTCAATAGAATGTTAACGTTTATAGCAATTTGATGAAAGATACAATTTGCAAAATTGCAAAACCTGTACGCTCATATATTTGAAAACATTTTTCACTAAGATATTTTAAATGGTATAATGGAGACAGGACTTAACTGACCACATTAGGAGATCGCTCTTTTGCTGTTGCTTCTCTCAAACTTTGGCATTTGTCTTTTTCGCTATATGGAGAAGCCCCTCAGTCATCATTTTTAAGAAGGCACTCAAGACATTTCATTCCCTACGGCGTACATTTGCGGACAAAAATAATTGAAAATAAAAGACAATTTGAAGTTCAAAAATTAGACTATCCATGTCGAAATCTCGTTGTATGAATTTGAAATCGCAATGAACGCAGTCGAAATAGCATCATTCGAACTTGAAGTTACTTTGAACAAGTTGAAACTGTAAAGGGAAAACTCGACATTGCGGACGTTGAAGTTCAAATCACCATTCCAACTAAAATGCAAATTACATGATTTGAACTTCAATTCACCTTCTCCACTCTAATAAGCCACTTTAATCGTCAACAATGCAACCATAATCTTCCACAAAATTCCAAATGAAACCTTTAATTTGAACTTAAAGTCACGTCACATATTCGAATTCGAAAAACCAAAATTTCAATTCGAAAGGAAGCGGAAGTAAAAATACACAGGAACCGGAAATGATAAGAGTTTCGCTACACTTTACATACGGGATGTTTGCATAACTGCATGTTGGCGCGAAAATATTTCCCTTCACTCGAACTCTCATGGCGGACAATGTGAATGATAAGGGTGACTCTAGGACAATCCAAGCGATTGTGAGGGCTGTAGTGGCAAACTTAAACTTTATAAAAGGAGAAGCGTTAAGGCTTCTGAGAACAAATTACTCTCAATTTACTTTTGAGGAAAACATGAGTAATTTCAAAACACGCGTACAGAATAGAGATTACCCAGCTAGAATTGTAGAAAAACACCTCTCAGAGATTAAATTCTCTGATAGAGAAATGTCGCTAGCGCAGAAAAACAAAACCGCACCTAAGAAAATACTGCCCTTTGTAACACAATACCATCCGGCGTTGCCTAACCTAAAGGACACACTCATGGGGAAATGGCACCTTATAGAAAATCAACCGCAACTGAGAGAAATCTTTAAGGAGCCCCCATCATCTCATATCGTAAGGGAAAATCCCTAAAGGACATCCTAGTTAAAGCTAAGCTATGAAGGCTTTATTAGAATTTATTCATCCGCGAACTGCAGGAGTCGTGTAGGCTTGTCAACACTGTTAGCAGAGTTGACAAAGTTCTCTGGTGAGCATCAAGTCGACGATATAAAAATTCAGAATTATCATATGATGTTGAGTTTAGATTAGTTTCTGATGCCTCTAACAGTCTAACCAGTCCAACGAAAAACTCTTCGTTGTTCGGTAGCCATCGAGCAGCCATGACGATGATCACATCAGAGATGAGGAAGCTCAGGTTCCAAGCCTCCCATCTGTAGACTCGTACCTAGTCGTTACTCGGTTGCTGTGTATTTTTACTTCCGCTTCCTTTCGAATTGAAATTTTGATTTTTCGAATTCGAATATGTGACGTGACTTTAAGTTCAAATTAAAGGTTTCATTTGGAATTCTGTGGAAGATTATGGTTGCATTGTTGACGATTAAGTGGCTTATTAGAGCGGAGAAGGTGAATTGAAGTTCAAATCATGTAATTTGCATTTTATTTGGAATGGTGATTTGAACTTCAACATCCGCGATTTCGAGTTTTCCCTTTATAGTTTCAAAGTAACTTCAAGTTCGAATGATACTATTTCGACTGCGTTCATTGCGATTTCAAATTCATATGACGAGATTTCGACATGGATAGTCTAATTTTTGAACTTCAAATTGTCTTTTATTTTCAATTATTTTTGTCCGCCAATGTACGCCATACATTCCAGAAAGCCCTTACAATGTATGTAATAAGATGTAATTTTTTTGGCTCGTCTTTATTAGGTATTATGCCAGTAACCAAAGGAATTTTTATAATTTTAGTGTTTGATATATTTTAATTTTTTGTATATTTATAAATTTAATTATTTATTCAAAATCCTTTCTTATAACCGCCAAAGAAAATGGCGACTGTCAAGCGACTATTGATATCGACGCTATAAGTTTTACTATCATCAATTATATAATACATTTCTAAGCGTAAACGGTAACAAGTCCTGTAGAAAAAAATACCTTTTAATAATCTAACAATCTCTTCCCCTCTTTAGATATAGTAGTGTACTGATGAGCAATAGCAAGAAAAACAACTCATGTTTTTGCATACCTGGATTACTAGAGAATTCTGACATTTTACGCTTACGGCTATTTTGAGACTGAGAGTCTGTATCCGTGGATAGTTTAGTCGGATTTCCTGATGTAGCATCAGCTTTCATTGCACAGTCACTACTATGGGGCGTTTCTGAAACAATCTGCTCGTCGTGATAAGAGTTTGTTCTTTGGTTGTTGTCAATTTCTATAGAAGGCCCTGCAAAAACAAGTTTTGGTTATTATAACTGAAACTTAAGGCTCAGTCAATTCCAGGGGTGCTCATTCCTCCCTGGGGCGGAAATTTCATGGGCATAATAACTTGCACAGAAATCACAAAGGAGCAACTCTAAATTCGTTAGAATGTCTCTCACGATTCTCTCGTACATGTATGTTCTCTGTCGGCGAGCTCATTTGGTAAAAAAAGCACTTTAATTTCAAAGGCGTAATCATCCTCATATTCTTCGCGTGTGCTCTAAGTGTATAGTGATGACAGGGTACTATGTGACATTGAAATATGAGGCAAAACCAAGAACTATTGCCTGAAAAGTGTTTGCAACTTTAAGGGACGGACCATTAGAAATAACCGGAGGGGGGGTGACAATTCCCAAAATAAATTCCTGTCGTCTATCGGACCGCGAAAAAAGTAGTGTTTTGTCAATTATGTAATTTAAGTTGTTATGTAAGCCTTAGCCGGGCACTCTTTCGCCGCAGTTCACTCAACTTAAAAATTTCTAGACTGAAATGACACCAGTTTGAAACTTCACGAAGTCAGATTTAAAAAAATGTTTTAAAATATGCGTCATTTTAAATTTTGACTCGTTGGAATGCTTCTAGGGACCAGTAACTTACTGCCCGGCGTCAGATAAAGGCTTTTAATCGGCCTTTGAATGAGTTTTATTGTTTTAAATTGCCAAGTAGTAGAATGAGTTGAAATTGTTGCTAACCCGGTTTTCAAAAAAACCAGGTACATATATTAGATTGTGTATTCCTGGGATAGAAGCTCAGCGGCCGGTGTTCTATTTCTGCTCGCTCTCGCGCGCCTCCGTGCTGCTCACACTTGGTTAAAAATAGACAGAAATGATTTCTACGCTTGCTGTCTACGAAGATACCTTCATGGTCGTCAGTCATGGCTTCCATCCTCTGAGAAGCGTTGCACTTTGATTCTAAGGAACTCCGGGCCTTTAGAGAATCTTCTGCTGCAACAAAATGGAGAAAACATGCTATTGCAGGGATTATGTGTGTATAACTATAATCATGTGAAGTGCTGCAGATAAAGACTATGACCGGAAGGTATGACGATCGCTCTCCACAGACTATTCTGCTGAAAACAATTTACCTGAAGAAATCACAATTAAACGTTACAGTTGTGATGTTTTCAGCATAAGGTTCAGATCCACGAACATTTTTATCAAGACTTCAGGGCAAAACTTGTAAGCGATCCTATTTTTGTTTCTTTTCACTTTTCTCTCTATTGTTACCTGATAATGCAGTGCGGAAGCAAGGTTAGATTTATTGGTGGGGGGAGGCAATAACGAGTACCGAAGGCTAGGGGTGTCTGGGGGCATGCTCCCCCGGAAGATTTTATAATATAGGGTCTCTTAAATAGCAGTTTCAGCCTTCCCGAAAGCATTAATTTCCAGCCGAATTTTTAGCTGTTGAAGCCATAAATAAATAACTTTCACGCTTTATCGAACCGAAATAAACACATTGAACCGAAGAGCAGCGTAAAGAGCGTGGCCGCTGACCAAATTAAACGTGCCTGTCAAAATTATTGGGGGACCCAGTCCCCCCCGGCCCCTCCACATGCTACGGCACTGTAATGTGCCACTGAAGAAAATATAGTTGACATTCCTACCATGAGTCAGGCTGATCATCTTGTCAACTAACTCCTTTATCTGTTTGGCCCAGTTGTATTTCCTGCCATAGGAATCACGCAAGTTCACTGCTTCCTCAAGTCGACATTCCCTGTCCTTGTTCCAGATCTTTTGAATGGCTGCGGTCCACACTGTGGGATCCTCTGACTCAATCACAAACGCTGAACCAAAAGCTGCACTACGCAGTGCTTCTCCAAAGCCAGAGTTACGACTGACAAGCACAGGTAGACCAGCTGACATTGCCTCGAGTCCTTTTAAACCAAATCCCTCTGTTCTTGAAGGCATGAGTACAAGATCCGCTTGTGGCAATAAGCGCTCTAAACTCTCTCGGTTTCGAACAAATCCTTTTACGTTCAATCGACCTGCGGGAACACCATACTCCATAAACCGCTTCGCAATTTCTTCGTGTTTTCCATCCGGTGCCCCAACAAAAACAAGACGAGTATCTTGTAATGCAGCAATCGCTTTCCCAGCGATGTCAAATCCCTCTAATTTAAAATCTTCTACGTCTCCACTACCAAACACCAAGACTCTGCGTTGTTTCCTATCGCTTCGGCTGACTTGCTTTACAGTCTCAAACTCTTCAAATACACCAGGAGTGAGTTCAAAGACGTTACCATCTTTATTACAACCAGAAAGATACGAGCGAAAGGCCTCGCTCAACTTGGGTCCAATTCCTACAACATGATCAGCCATTTCACACAGTTCTACTTCGTTCCTGTGCTTTTCTTCACCCTTTGAAATTGGGCGGGAATAGCTTTTAAACATCCCAAGTTCCTCAGGGTCTGTGTGCACCACTTGAACCCATTTGCACGTTTTACATTTTTTAATGACCTGCCCTTGTTTACCAAGTTTAACTCCATGACCAACAACTATGTCGATTTCCAAATCGTCTGGTGGAAAGCAAAGCCAATCAAGCTGTTCAAAACAAGAAAGTGGCGTTGCCTCTACGATCTTTACTTTGTGGTCAAGGGCTACGTTTTTGTCCTCTTGACTGCATTTTGGTAAAAAAAAAGTTATTTCCACTTCAGGGAACTTGGCTAACTGAATGGCTAATTTTCTGTTAATGGTAGAAAGCCCCCCATTACTTGGTCCCCATTCAGATGCCAAAACAGTGACTTTCACTTTGCGAGATCCACGCACTCGGTCATCATGCGTTTGAGATTTCTGTAAAGGTGATGCCATGATCAAACATCAAAGTCGTTCCACATCTGAAATAAAAATTAATGGTAAAGCCTCAATTACAACTACTACAAAGGACAATAGAGAAACTACTACAATGGAAAAAAAACACAGAATAAATTACAGCTACTACTGGGAAAACGGAAAAGAGTTTCACTGGGTGGTGCCGATTGACTTCTGTCGGTCTAAACAACCTTTCAGAACATGAAAAGTAGCCGATCACATGACCAGAAAATGCATTTTCTAACCGCTGGTGCTTCTTATTTGCCTGGGCTTTTCTAGAAGAAAGGGAAGATAGTGAAGAGAAGAAGAAGGCCTTTGTGTGTCAAGCCTTTCTCTATGTTTTCACGCCCCACTGTTTCGTCTTAATTTCACCTTATCTATGGCCTGAAGCTCAGATTAGCGTGTGGGAGTGGGTGTGTGTATGTGTGTTTTCGGGGGGCTTTGAAATATCCGTGAGGTCAAGGGGGAGGGCGTAAAATCTGGCTGTAAAACTAAGAGGGTCTCAATGGGGTGGTGGCTTTTACGGTTATCGGCTAAAATTTTTGCTTTTTTACGGCTATCGGTTCATTTTTTCCAGTTACGGTTAACGAAAAAGTTAAAAATTAACTTCTTTTGTTTCAAAAAGTTAAATATTAATTAACCCGCATTTTTTTTTTTTGTATCTTTACATCAAATAAAGGTCTTCGGATCATCTCGGGATGAAAATGAATAAGCTATTCTTTTGAAAAATTTTAACATTTGATAGATCATACTTTTTATAAAGTATTCCAGTTCTAATATTATTTTACACATAGAAATGTCAATAGTCAATTTAAAAATAATCTTTGTGAAAAAGCAAAAGCAGATACGCAAATGGCCAACTCAAGGCCGGGACGCGACATTCATTATAACAGAAATGGCCGTTTTTACACTAGAGAAAGATTATTCGTGTGAGACGGGTTATCGGTTTGATGATTCGCGTCAGATAGGTAATACGTCTTAATTTGAAAATGGGATAGTTTTACTTTTGAATGAATAATCCGCCTGTCTTTTGAAGACGGGATTATCCGCTCCAGGTAGCCTGTGGACAGCCGCCCCCTCCCCCCAGAAAAAATCGGAGAAGGGGTGTCTGTGAGGAGGGCGCGACTGTACACAGGCTAGTCTCAGACGGATGATCCATTTCTAGCTCTAGTGTGAAAACGGCCAATAACAAAATTCACGTGTCCAGTGTTTTTAATGATAGCGAAGGACTGTAAGGAACGACTGTCTGCCGTTGCTTTGTCCGTAGGCCCCATCATTCCGCGCGTCTAATGCGTTTCGGGTCACGTGGTCTGAGCGAGTTCTCCACCGATGCCTTGACCGAGATTGCGTGGGAAGACGTCGCACAGGGACTAGGCATAATGTCTACCGTAGCGTCAGAGAAAAACAAGGAAATGTTGACGTTGTTTATCGGCAACGTGTTTTACAAACAGTGACATCTCTGCGTGTTGTTTCACTAGTGTTGCGAGGGCACGACCTCCAGAAAATTGCAAATATCAATCCTCAGCAATAAGCCACACTTTCGCTATGGAAAAAATAGTTCCCCGAGAGAGCGCCGGAAATGGAGCCTAGGTCTTGGTTAACTCCTAAAAGGCGCTTCGCCTAACGTGCGTACGGATTCACACATGATCCGGGAAATAAAAGACAACCATAAGTGAGTTTAGCACCTTCCTTAAAAGTAGCAAATCTGGGTAACAATTTCTTTTACTGTTAACTCTTTTTTGCCCTGTTTACGGCTAACGGTTAAAATTTTTCAATTTTTACGGCTATCGACTAAATTTTTGGCCGTTTTACGCTTATCGGTTAACCCCATTGAGACCCTCAACTAAGGGCCTGATTACATGAGCTGGGCTGGCTCGCTTTGTACAGATCTCGGCACCTTAGTTAAACGTGACAAAAACCAACTTTGCGATTATATGACAACCGGGCCAGCCCGGTTAGCTGGGATCCCAGTAATCCCGGGTAGAAATTTAATTTATCTTACCTAGAAGCCGGGCGATTTTTCAGAAAATTGAAGGTAAATCTGTAGAAAATAGCTGGAATTGACGGGTTTGGCTTTATTGCCGAGAGTTTGACAATATTTTTGCTTTTAGTTGTTGAGATCCAAAGGTGTCACGCAAAATGCCTTCCCTACTTTTATAGTGTTCAGTACTCGATGGAAAGAAAGTCGACTAAACGGCGTTTAAACCGGCCGTTGGACACAGAGTGGCTATGAACTAAACGTAAGGGAGCTTTTTGAATCAATATTTCGCGTGATAATGCTTTTATTTTTCTTAGCGTCGTAGATTCGAACACATGTGATAAAATTCGAACAATAAGGGCCCGAATCACATGTAATAATGCAAGAAATATCGACCTTCGTTATCTTAAAGGTTACTAGTACAGATAGACAAACAAAAAGACTTCATATCGTTAACATTTTTGCATTTATTTGGCATCAGATAATACACTAATAATTCTAGTATATTCCGACCAAATGACCTCTGAAGCCCGAACCCACACATAGTGCGCTTGGGCTGCCTGTGATTTATGTTCATGTTTTATGCTTAACTGGTGTTGTGTTACGAACAACATAAAGATGTTCTTTTCTATTTTTATCGTTTTTATTTGAGCTATTCCCTTCCTTTGACTTTTATCTCCGATAGACGTCTTTTTGTTCTTTGATGGTCTCGGTATTTTCGACTGCATATATATAAAATCTAAGCCAAGCTTGTTGAGGCATGTACTGTCACTGTACAGTTAATATATTCACTGCACAGATGAATTATTGAACTGACAATGAGGGAGTCTATCTTTACGTCGAGAGTTGATGGTCGAGGGTACCATGTCGAGCGTAACAATTTTTTTCAATTTTTTTTTTTTTTTTGAAAAATGGAAAACAAATGGAAAATAGATAACAAGAATTTAAAAAACAAATGGCGCGTGGACATCTCCATCCATATTAGTTCTACCTGTTGGGTGGGGGGGGGGAAACAGAACACGTTACTTGATAACAGGTTTCTCAATATGAGTGACTGCCTAAGAACGTCTTCTGCCCTGTTGACGAGCCCCCATGTAGTAAAAAATGTCGTAAAACAAGTTTAAAAAACTGATTTAACTGATATATTACTGTGAAAATGAGCTTGGGCGCCTGTGGAAGCAGGAATTACAAAATGACAAATAAAAGATATGCGGCTAAATTAGAGATAAAGGCTAGACCCTAACCTAACCCTTCCAACTTTTCCCAGTTTTTGGCTAGGCGGACCGACCCATCTTCATGAGATGGAGGCGATGAAAAACGAAACATATTGTTTTATTGAAAGTTAGCATAATCGTCTGCTTCGATCTGATTGCTGTTCGTGAATAAAAGCTCCCCTTTTTGTGCAAAATAGGAAATAATCGCTGTAGCCGTTGTGAAAGAAAGTGTTTTGCGCAGACACCTCTGATTTCTGTTTGAAATGCACACTAGGGATAAAGATGTGTATAAATATTAGTTTCGCCGCATGACTTCCTATTGTTGGTTTTCACATTACGTCACTAAGATCCAAACTACAAAACTAGCGATCCTACCGAGATTTTACTTTCACGATGCATTAGGGCAGCTGAAACTAATTTTCATACAAATTTTCGCTTCAAAAGGGTTCTTGGTTTTGTGATAGAGTACGCTTGAATTTCTAAGCTTTTGCGTGACGCGGCATTTACAGGACTGCCAAGAGAGCTGTCATGTAGGTTAAAAAAATGACTTATTTCAGGAAATTTTGCTATCTAAACAGTTCATGCATAAGAAAAAGTATTACTTTTATGTTTATTCACGCTAGCAAAGCTCGGTAACAGATGTTTCTGTTGGTTTCCGTCCGCCATGTTGGAGCTCATCCAGGCGCGGTGAGCACCAGCATGGCGTCTCCATACAAATCTCTATAAGTTTGAGTAAAACATTTCTTCGGATATCTCGTATACGACATATTCCTCTGACCTGAATCTTGGCGAGGGTCTTTGTACATGTACCTCCTTTCATTTCCCAGATTCTGGACTTTATCTATTGAACGGTTTTGATTTTTATTTCGATCTTTTTTGAATGGCGTGACACTGAAAACCAGCAATTACTTCCGCCATCAACTGCGCCGATAAGTGTTGGTTTTGCGTTCCTTTTGTGTTTCAGGGTATGGCAAATTTCTGCAGTGATATACTTTTTAAGCTGCAGAACATTAACGTTGATTATTGAAGGAGTTTATTTTTGTGGCGCGACTCGGGCGATAGCATCAACCATCTAAATTATCACTCTAGCTACGCACCTACTTACCTAGGTCACGATTTCCGGTGTCGGTAATTATCGATGACTTGTACTTTAAAATTTCATGGCGCGTTTCTACTTCATTGAAAGCACGACAATTCGGTCGCATACACTGGGATAGCTTAAAAAACAAGAATCGGTGAAACTACCCCACTGAACAGCCAAGTAAGGCAGAGAAGAGGCAGACGTGACTGAAATATAAGCCTAAGCAGGGGCACCCAACGACGGTTCCCTCCTAAATGCATTGAAAACACTTTTTTGCTTATCCAGAGTACTTTCAAATCTCTACAAATGCATTCTAAGCGGCGCTATTAAACTTGCATCTGTTCGGTCGTCCAAGGGCAACTTGAGTCTGTTCGAAATTACTTTGGGAATACTTAGGGCCTCAGTATTATTTTCCCGAAAATTTTAGATGCAATTTTAGGTTTTACGAAAGTGAGAATTTTTCTGATTCGATCCTCTCTCCAACTCCGATCCGTTTTACTTAATGAGACACATTCAATTGTTTTTAGTGAGGTGTTCTCTCAAGATTGCCTCTTATTTTTTTGCTATCAAGCTTTTTGGGTTCAGTGTTTTGGCGGCAACTGAGAATGAAAGTGCTGAGTCTTTCGACACAAATGTAACACTGTAACTGCTTGTTTTTAAGGGGACGACGTTCTCGCTTTAGGATAGTATTTGAAAACTTTAAGAGACAAGAAGTCGAACAAAAATTGAGATCTTGAACAAGACGCCATGGTTCATTTATTAACTTTTATAATTTTATTTTGTTCACTTTCAGTTCAGCGATGGAGCGGTATCGTATCCTTTTAAAGCAAGATCTAGAACAACGGAAAGCGAAAAAGTCTGGCAACAAATAGCTGATAAACTGAACTCCGATCATACCCTCAAGTTTCCCTCGAAGAAATTCGGTTTTTTTTTTTAAGAGAAACTGGAGTAATAGCCGGCAGCACAAATTTTTCTTCCAATAAAAGATCGTTAACGTATCAATCAAGCAAGACTTCACGACTTATGGAATTAAAACACGAAAGCATTACTTTATCCTCTCTCGTCGGGCGAGCACTCAACCCAACCTGCTCAATCTTAATTTGTTTTTCCCGCGAAGGTGGCGGCGTCCTCGCTCCAGGCTTTCTCCGTTCTCTTTACCGCCGCGTCCAGGGTATCTTAAGGTCCCTATTATTTCAAGGGCTCATTGCCTGATTTCATACCGTGGGAGCCTGGCACTAGTTATCCGTTTTGCCGGACGGAAGTGAAAAAAGATGGCGGGAAATGTGAAAGAAGACTCGCCCAAAATGGCTTTTGCAGCAGTAAAAAAAGTCATAAATGATGATTGCCTTGAATCGCTCAACACAAAAAAATTGGGAGAACTTTGTAATAGTCTTAAACTTAAAGCTTCCGGGACTAAAAGTGAATTGTTACAAAGATTGCTACCATTTAAAGATGACCCGGCTTTGCTCGACAACAGAGTGAAGAACATCTCTGTGAAGTACAGCTTTACAACAGCCCTATCGAGACAGGAGATCCCACCACCAACAGCTGGATGGAAATGCAATACTTCTCTCTTTCCCAAGATTTCAAAAGACGTTATCAAGACATATCAGTCTAATAAACGACAGGGAATGATAGGACAATTTCGCAAAGCTCATCGAATGTTTTCTTCAAGACGAATGAAAACCATCAAGGTTTTCAAAAATGGTAGCCAGTTATTTGTCAAGTCAAGCATATTGAAAAGCTTTTCTTCTGAAGTTACACGAACTGCAACTGTCTTGTTCATTGACAATGTTCCCAAGAAAGGTTTTTGCGAATGTGCTGTCGGAAAGTGTGGTCTCTGTTGTCATGTTATCGTTATACTGCTACAGTTAGAACACTTCACAACACATAAAAAGCTGTTTTTGTCTTTGACCTGTACAGAGAAGCTTCAAAAGTGGCATCGACCAAATTTAAAGAAAGGGAAAGAGGTAAAAGCTAACTTGAAGGCTGCTGCTCATATCAGACTGAAATATTTTAGAAATGCCAAATCAGCAAGACATGTAAATCAAAGAACAAAGAAGAAAGTTGTAGCTAGAGGTGTAAGTGATGAAAACAGTGACTGGCTGAAACGAGATATTTCCTCCATGAGCTCTCAAGTAGTAGATGGCCTGTCTAAATGCAGAATCAATTTATCAAATCATTTTCTTAAAACTCTAGAGAAATTTAAAATAAGACACTCAGGATTGTATCACCATTTGTCTTACAAAAATGCTTATCTGAACAGAGTGATACAAAATGAACATGACTACACAAAACTAAATCCTCCAGCAAACCTGGAACAAAACTCCAAAACACCTTCTGAGTGTGAGGATAAATGGCACTCTTCATTGATAGCCAATTCTAACAACTTCAACCAAGATAATTGCACAGTGGGACAGCCTACTTCAGAATGTCAAGAGCAAACATTTTGTGCAGATAAAACTCAAGAGTTGTTAGAATTGCTTACAAACTCTAAAGATGAGATTATAACTGTTAAGGTCCCTCAGCTTAAAGAAGTCAGACTAACTACAAGTGCAAGATACATTGATGTTCAACAAGGCACTTCTGATTGGCTTAACCTGAGGACGGGGGTAATAACAGCAAGTAAACTACCATCACTCCTGGGTTTTCATGGAAACAAAGAGTTTGATTCATCATGGTTTTATATTTTAAACAAGATAGATGAAAGTAAATGTAAACCAAAGCAATACAGAAACTTTCAAAGAGGAAACTACTATGAAAAAGAAGCTTTAGAGCACTTTCAGAAACTCTCTGGTAAGTCAGTTTATTCGAAAATATTAATAGTAACATAATACTCTAAAATTTAGCAAATAAGTATATTATCAGCATATCATGCAGTTAATCATGTACATAACATAATCAAATAGGAATACACTTACGTGAACATAAATGTAAGCACAAAAATTAATGTAAGTTTCAGTAATCATGAATTGATTTCTATTTTTTCCTACAGGTGTCCCAGTCTCAAGTTGTGGGTTTTTCAGACAGTGTAGTTTTCAATGTAGATCCTTAATGTTGCAATGTCAAAGTTCTTTACTACCTCAGTCTCATCAAATTGATGAGAAAATTTCATTGGAGGTCTATTGTGTAACAGGCCTTTCTCATGACAAATATCAGTGATATTAAAGCCCTTATCAGTCATAACTGTCTTCCCTTTTGTAACTGTATCTAGCACACATGATTGCTCTGTTATGTCAGCATCACTAATGCTGCCAGGAAATGCATCGGTACATTTGAGTAAAAAACCAGGAGGAAGGGTCCACAAACATATCTTCCCTGTAGTGTGGTTCTTGTAGTTCGAGAATGTAATATTATTAATATCAAAGTTCTCTGATTGGGAGATCCAAATTTCAGTTGCATCCCCTATGAGGGCAGTATCACCATATCCTGACTCCATAAAACATTTTGGCATATAGTCATTCAAAAATCCAGGTAATGGGGTCAGGTCAATAGACTCAAAAATGGTGCTCAGGAATACACACCATCCTACAAAAATTCTACTCATAGTTGAGATACTTGAACCAGTCATCCATGCAATAACACCAAGGTCCAATGCATGTCTACAAATTGTCAAGAAACTGATAAGTTCTGTCTTTGTGTCCAGCTTTCTAAGATGGGACGAGTCGTCATTGTTACAATCAGGATAAACAATTGTGTGCAAGAAAGGCTCCAAACATTCATATAGACAATCTAATTCGGAAAGTGTTAATCCTGTCATATAGTAAATTCTATCTGGGTATCTCATGAGTGCTTCATAACTAAAAGTTTGGCCTTCGAGTGCTTTCTTCATTGCATTGAGTTGCTGACTGTTGTTCGCAGCATTTTTTTCAAGTTCTGTTTGAGTCTTTGACAGCTGTTGCTGTAAATCTTCAATCAAAGCCGTTTTTCCATTTAGTTCTCTCGTCAAACTTTCCACTTGACTTTTAAGCTTCTGATTTTCTTTTTCTACGTTCGCAGCTGAAACCCGTCGCTTTTTAACACGCGGTACGGGAGTTTCACTCCTGTCTTTCGGGGGTTTCCTTGGAGTACTCCTCACGGTATTGGCATTCGACGAAGTAAGAACCGTTTTTGTACAGTCAATTTTCCTTTTCAATTCCCTAGATGGTTTTTGGGAGTACTCTTTTTCCAGATTAGCAGCATATTCTTTTGTACAAATTATGTCTGGCAATTGATTCTTGTTCTCTCGTTTCCCTGAGCTCCAATGGGCGCTGCATATAACATGTTTTCTCCAGTTAATATTTTCGTTCATAAGAACTTTCCTATATCCTTTTTGAAGCTCAGGATCGCTGGGCAAAGTGTAGTACGTTATTCCTTTAGTTCTGTAATTATTCGTACACAAAGAACTGGCCCAATTCCAATGCCAAGTTTTCGTGTAAGTCGCCATCTCTACGCCATTAAACTGAAGTGCACTTCCGTCCGGCAAAACCGATAACTAGTGCCAGGCTCCCACGGTATGAAATCAGGCAATGTCCCATGAGTCTCATGAGTTTTGAGCGAATCTTCAAACGCAGTTAGTACATGTAACTGGAACTATCATCGCATAACTTATATCAACTTCCATTATTTATTGCCTGGCTAAGATTTTCACGGATTCTTTAGTTCAATTGTTTGAAACCAGGCGGTTTCACGTGACTTGTAACGCCATGCAAGGAAAGTGACGACCCTCGATATGCGTGGGAAAATATTACTTTTTTCCTATCAAGATGGAAATTGGCATCTTTGTCGTCGAGTAAGGTAATACATTTCAATTTTCATTACAGTGGAACCCCGTTAATACTACCACCTTCGGGCCATGGAAATTTGGTCGCATTAACGGGGTGGTCGTATTAACGGGGTAGGGTCAAATTATGGTGCAAAATACTTTTAAACTACATTCTACTACATCACAAGCCCTTTCCTTTCATAACAAGGAACTGAAAGAAGTTAGTGTTTTTTCTCATTACTCGGTTTCGTTTACTGTTACATTGTTCAGTTGTATTGAATTGCGGTTGTAAGGTTGTTAATTAACTGCAAAAAGGTTGATTTATATTTGTCTCGAAGAGCCGTTTTCTATATTGTAGCTTACAACACTTTCACAATTATTACAAAGTTCAAAGTTCTGGGAGAAAAGAAAAGGAAATGGACTTGAAGAGAAAAGCCACAGTGGAAGGCAGCAGAAACAAGAAGGCAAAATAACTTTGAGAGCCTCGAAATGCTGCAAAGTGAAGTCTTTCAGATCTTTTGTATTATTTATTCATGCATCCTTTTTACTGCACACAGCAATTTACCGGATGTCATGCTAACCACTAACACCTTTGCCTAAAAACATTCAATAAAATATTAGTAATGGGTTATTGTTTGTCAGATTCAGTCTGTTTTCATTCAGCAGCCCCACCAAGCATTTTGACTGGTCGTATTAGAGTCAAACCAGGTCAAGCGTTCCCGTCGCTAACAAACTAATGAATTCAGTAATGGAAAAATGATTTCGTTTGTTGATTCAATAATCCATTCATAAAATGAATAATCCAACGGTCAAATTGTACCTCGATTCAATAATCAAATGTTGATTTGGTTATGAACAAAATCTACCTGTTCTTTATTCTTGTCTGTTGTGTTCAATCGTATTTGCTTCCCTTTTCCTGCCGTTTACGATTGCGTTTTTCATTGCCTTTAATCAAAATAACAGCTAGAATAGACAGACCGCAAACGCAAAGAAACTGACAAAGGCCGAGGATCGAAATCCACCAATCACCGCACATACACTAACCTCAGTTTGACCGTCGTGTTTTCTAAGAGGTCAGGCCTAGGTCTGTTGCACTGATTATTGGCAGCAAACTGGCGTACATGTAACAGTTTGTTTGGGTTTGAACTTCAGAATTCGCCAGCACTCGACTCTCAGAAAAAAAGAGGAAAAAACAAAATTCTGAGGTCAACTTGTGGAAAGTGTAATTTTTCAAAAAACAGTAATCGAATCAACATTCGATTATGGAATCGAGACTAAATATATGACTATTGGATTGTTCATTTTATGAATGGATTATTGAATCAACAAACGAAATCATTTTTCCGTGAATGAATTCATTAGTTCGTTAGCGACGGGAACGCTTGACCTGGTTTGACTGTAACGGGGTAATTTTATAAAGAAAATAACGACTCGGGACTCCCAAAGGTGGTCGTTGGTCGTAATAACGGGGTGGTCGGATTAACGGGATTTTCAGATAAGAAAATGAGTGGGCGTTTGTTCGGGCCACAAGAAAGTGGTCGCAATAACGGGGTAGTCGTATTAACGGGGTGGTCGTAAGGCAGGGTTCCACTGTATTATGGTTAATTTTAAAAGCTCTGGTTTCGATAAAGGAACTGGAGGAAAATCAGGAAAATTTCAGTTCGACTGTGATGGTTGCATTTTGTTTACGCGTCGTAGCATAAATATAACAAATTCATTTTCATTTTCCTTACACAACCTGCCTTGTTACACTGTTTTTCGCAGCAGAGCTATCGCTTATATTATAGAGGCAATTCTATTATACAATCACTCAGATTTAGTGACAGAAACTCTATTATCGATTGTAATTTTGGCAACACCTGGCGAGTATTCCGTGTAAAGCTTATCGACAGAGTCGCTGGAGCAGTCTCTTCCATTCATTACTTTTTGTTTCTGCACCGTTAAATTTTCCCAATTTTTTCTATTACCGAGATCGATTTAGCCACAAACAATGAGTATACAGGCAGAGTGGCAAGCTTCAATGCGATGTGGCAAGAGAGAGATACGCCTTTGAGTTTCGAATTGAATTGTGAATTTTTGCGGGCGTAAAAACTTCAATAAGTATACCCAACAACAGTTTAATCGATCGTTGAAACACGTTATCAATTTGGAAGTAGTTTCTAAAAATACAATGAAGAGGCATGATGGTTCTTTCAATGCGTATCGGCAAAGGAAGACCCCAAATCAAGTCTACATGCCAATTTTTACCCAATTCGGTGAGATAGCCGGTGGCAGCGACTCTTCGGTATAGTTCGATTCAATTCAATTTTATTATTCACACTTTATAAAATATTTACATTATATATAGTAAGGTAGGAATGCACTAATAAAGGAGAAGAAGAAGGAAAAAAAAGGAAATTAATGGCTTGGGTAGAAGTGTACGGTGGTCAGAGGAGCTTAGCTTTCGAGGTAACCACCGAATCTTACAGACAACTGCTCTTCATACGGTCTTGTTTCTAAGTACATCAAAGGCAAGAGCATACTTTTAATGATAATAATAATAATAACAATAAATGTTATTTAGCCAGGGCTACCTCTTCAGGATAAAATGCTGATATCAATGAGGGCCCTGGGAAAGTTCTGACTTTGGGCAGCAGCAAGTTCTGCCCTATTCCCCTCGTGTTGTGGATTGTTCTAAAAACCTTAAAATAATCTTTAAAAACATTGGAGGGGATCCCTTCAAGCATTTAAAAGTCAAATTAATAGTATGCATGTCACGCCTCATAGACAAGGGAAGCCACTTTAACTTCTTCTCGGCGTCTGAATCTTTGGTCTTCAAAACAATCTTTGCTGCCCTTCTCTGTGCTCGGTCTAACTTATCACGGTCTATTATCCAAATGCTGCTCCAAGCAACATCGCAATAATCCATAACCGGCAGAACAAGAGACTGATAAACTTTATTGGCTGGATCGACAGTGAGATTGTTTCTAATTCTTCCAAGGACACCGATTCTTTTGGAAATCTTAAACAGTAGCTTATCCGCGTGTTGTTTGAAATTAAGATTTGCATCTAAGCATTACTGCAATTGCTCCTTGATTTGCTTATCTTATACCACTAATATGAACTGCAGTTGGAGAGTGTAAGTTATTTTCACTTGAACTAAAACCACCCTGGTGGGACTAAATCCCGTGAAAAGAAGTTGGTAGTCAAGTAAGACGTATCTTACTCTTGTTCTCTTCGCTCGTCTTGTTTTTTTAAAAATTCTTATTCTGCCTGATTCTAGAGGCAGGGTAACAGCAGCAATCAGTTAATTGTCTGTGAGAGTGTTGACGATGTCTTGCATTTTTCGCGTCCCGAAATTCCTAGACCAGGTCGATATTCCTTGATACGGAAGCTAGTTGTCAGTGAAGCACTACCATATCACGAACTTACATGACACAATAAACGCTACAAAGTGGAATTATTTAAGGCTGTCAGACCAAATGCTACATGCATAAACTGACAATTACTTACCTAAGATTGATAGATTGATATCCTGTGATGATGTGATAGTAAGCGCTGTTGCAAATTAATCGTAGTGACAGAAATAAAGCACAACACGAAACCCAAAAGTGCATGTGACCACTTATTATTCATTCGCCTTCTTTTACACGGCTTATCCAATGAGAAAGCGAAGGGATCAAAAGAATGCGAATTTAATTATAAGTGTTTATCAGCTCAACCAACGATAACCAACCGGGCTGAATCGAAGAATATATTTATTTCTGAAGTATTTACCAGCCATGAGAATTTTTTTTCTCGTTTGCACAATAGTTTGTCTGCTACACAGTCGTTTGTAGTGTCGTCACTCAACGTTCCCTCCCTCTCCTGTTTGTGTTCCAACGAACAAACATCATCTATAGAAAATACTTGACACTACGTGAGCCTCAGGGCGCTAGGAAGCGAACATGCTTCTCAGTTTTCGACAAATCAAGCAATCGTCGCTGAATTTGGACGGGCTCTGTGTCTGCAAGCAAGGTAAACTTAGCAGAAAAGTGTGTTTTTTAAAGTGGTTAACAAAGTTGCACCTGAAAAAAGGTTTGATAGACCAACAAGACTCTTAGCAGGATCGGTTGGTGCTTTTTAACGAGCATTTGTATCTATGATGAATTTCATGTGCCGGATGTGCTCATTGTGTTGCTGTACATGTGAAGACTATTAAACTCTCAAGGGGACTGATTCAAACAAAAGCAATCTTATGAGTTACCGATGAGCGATTCCCGAGACTATACCCGGCAACTTTATATTAAGCACATCCATGTTGTGCATCACATTTGCTCTACATTTGCTTGCTGCTGCTGCTGCTTATCTCACGACAACACTACTCGGGTTCCGTGGGATGCCTGTGGCAGTCCCACGGTAACAATCCGGTTCGGTTGTACCCAAAATTGCAAAGCCAGCCAATAGGATTGCGTAAAATCTTTATCGATTATTTCTTCTTCCAGGTCGACCAATGGGATTGTATAAAACCTTTATCGATTTTTGATCGACTAGCTTCCTCTGAAGAACGTTTGTAACGAACAAATTGCAAAGCCTGCAGCTATAGGACTAAAATCTTTATCGATTATCTCTTCTTCCAAGCCGACCAATCAGATTGTACAAAATTTGTATCGATTTTTAATCGATTTGCTTCCTCTGAAGAACGTTGAAATCAGAACGTTCCTTGCCAAATTTGTAGCCCTTGAGTTTTCCCACTCGTGGTTTAGGATGGCTTGTTAACCAGCGAAATCCTTCGGGATACTGGCAAGTCACGAAAGGCGACTTAAGCCAAATTATTTCTTCCCTTCGTGATTCTTCTTTGTTTAGGTCTAGCTTTTTCATAAGGTTTTAGTAGCGTCTGGTTGCGAGCCGTGATTTCCGATAGATTTTTCTATTCGGAGTTCACTGAGTTCGCCAGTTTTTGCCGAGCACAGCTAGAGTTCAGTTTTTTTCTTTTCTTATCGAAAACACCTTGACGATGGGAGGTTAAATCGCGTAAATTTCAACTCGTACTCTTGTCGATTGGCGGTGAAATCGCGAAAATATTGTCCTCGTCGATCGACGACTCGCTTTCGGCATGGATTGGACTTCTGGATGGGACACGGATCAGGATTTTAGTAAACTTATTGAGCTATTTTGAAAAAATAGCTCATATGTCAGTGGTGTGAGCGTATGTATCTTTGTGGCTTTGTGGCTTTGTGTCTTTGTATCTTTGTGGCTTTGTATGTTGGGATGTTTGTTGCAAGAGCCAATAAGGTTGAAGGTACTATGAGTCGATGCTTAGGAACCAATGAGATCTTGGCATCTATTCAAACATGGCATTGGTAAAGGTCGAACAAGGGCACTTTGAGACCGCCATCTTAATCCTTCACAATTTTTTTGTCTTTTATTATGGGTACAGGTGTTTGGAAGCATTACATAAAATATCTTCATGATTCAAACGCTGTGAACAGTGATGCAGCTGTTTAAGGGTTCATATTTAAGTGTGGATGCTGCTTTGAGGCATTTCTGACCTAATTTTGCTATCGGTACAACGCACGTCAGTATGAGTTCTGTTTCACCTGCTACAACTAGGTAGAGTATAAAAGATCATATATTTTCAAATCTCTTCCAATGAAGCAATAATTGATATTTAGATATAGACTTTAATTCGAAAGTATGCGCCCTATAAAATGTGGTTTAAGAAGTTTAAAAGGCAGCTTATTTTTTTGAAAGCTGTATCGAGTATTGTTAATCCCGTAAACAAGCTTTAAAAATATTATTCTCTCGCTTACAAAGTTCAACCGACCTTTTTCGTTCTATTTAGTAAAGATGCGTAACTTAAGTAGAAACATTAGCGTTAGGGAATAAAATTGGAAGAAGCTAGTTGACACAATAATTAGATACTGTTATATTGAGTGGAGTAACATGATATAAGTAGAAATATATTTCGGCAGTTTGATAATTTTCTTGGAAGTTAATAAATGTTAGGCTATCAACCTTGACGTTGCATGAAACATAATATAATTGCAGATGTTGTGATAAAGCCGAGGTGATTTCTTAAAATCGTTTGAGAAAATTTTGTAGTAAAACAATTTGCCTCTTTTTTACGTACGAATTGTGAAGGGCCAAAGACCAACATCTTCACATGCAAATTGTATGCATGAGTTATTTTTATAATTCTGTTTACTAGATTACTGTGTGATAAGTAATATAACAAACATGAGACGCAGTGTTTCATCACCAGATGAAACACCGAGAAGAGAGTTGAAAATACGACGCGCAGCGGAGTATTTTTGACGAAATTCGAGGTGTTTCATCTGGTGATGAAACACTGTGTCGAATGTTTGATATTTCTTCTCAAACAAAATCATTTTTGAAGGAGAAATTAAGGATGCAAATACTGAGCAGTTTTTCATCCGATTTCCAAACACTCATTAAAGTGCTACTACAATCAAATTTGGGAATTTGTTTTTGATTACATATTTCGAAAATGTATGTAAAAGTGATTTACCGTGCCAAGTTTGGAGTCCAAATATGATCTGGAAGTGTGTTTATTTGCACGGCAATTTTCGTAAATGTCTTGCCGCCATTACTCGATTCAAAAAATGACCGGGAGTAGTATTTGAAGGAGTTGGGGCGAGATTTGACGTAGAAACATCAACGCGACAAAACAAGGCAAACAAACGTGGTTAATTTCGCATGCAGGACGAGATATTTTTGGAAGCTTTTGGAGGTTCTTTCTTCGCTTTTTTGACTTAAAGCGGAAGTATGCCTGGTAGACGTTGTGTTGTTCAGGACTGTGGAAACGTAAAGAACGATAAATTGGGGATTTCTATTCATAATTCTCCTGATTCGGGCAGCGTTAGATTAAAGTGGAAAAGGTTCGTGTCCATTCATCGGAAGGATTTCAAATATTCAACCCAGTGGGAAAATTTGCTGTGTGATCGGAGCATTTTACAAGGGATTGTTTTACGCTTGCTTTTCCGATGAAAGATATGAAAAGGAATTTGAAGAAGGGGACGTTTCCAACCATTTGGAAAAAATCCTCTCAAACACTATCAAAGCGGAGTCGACGATCGGTGAGTGAAATTACAATGTATTTGCGCTGTGCTTATCACCATTATATTTATTTCCCCATTTACCTGTGACATGATTTTTTCTGGCATCGTTGTTCAACATTCGTGTAATGAATGCTCTGACTATTTGGACTTCCCATATTGTTGCATGTGTTTTCATACTTTTCTGCTTTCTTCTCATAGTTATAGTAAAACGGGCATTTGCGCTGATGAGTGGACGTGAAGTCAATTCCCCAATTTCCAGACCTTTCCACTCAAGCGTAAAATTTAGAAAAAGTGAAGCTACATAGAAATCCGGCTCTCTATTTTTTGAGAGATTATCTTGCTGTTACTTTTAGATTTGACAGTACTCCAAACATCCCTCCAAGAAATCTTACAGCAAACTAAGAGTTACACGCGAGTCTTTTAAAACGACCAAAAATGGACTTAGTCTGATTTCTACATTCTATAAGTTCAGTTACTGTTTGAGGGTTTTTTTTTCGCTTCTATTTTAATTCTATTTTCACTGTCTGCAAATGATGCATACATTTTAAGGCAAAGATGTGGTTAAACCTTGCTTCCATTTCTAGTTTTGAAAACATCGACATAAAGCTCAAATTTAAACTTGTTTTGAAGGGGAGATATAAAAAATGGTCGTACCTATTTTCATTTTTAGCTACTAAATGAAATTCTGGTTGGTCAAACTACTAGTGAGGATACAGAGGAAGAAGAGAATCCTGAAGAAGAGGTCATCTCTTTGAAAGGAAGTTCTGCACCTGAGGAGAGTGCTGACACTATGGGGGCTCCCAATCTCAACCCTGAGGAGTCTCCAGAAGTCGAGGGTGTTCTGAATACAAGTCAGGGTTCTTTGCTTGAGGTAAATCCTGAAAAGGAGGGCTGCATCCCTGAGACTGAGACGGGTGAGATAAGTGTTGATGCTGAGATGGCTTCAGAGGTCCTAGGTACTCCTGGTGATAAGACAGCTCTCGAGAGCCAAGGGATTTCAGGCACTGATGAGGTTACTGAGACCATGCAGATCCTGGAGGCTCAGGGAATCGAAAAAGTGCAGGATATGGATGAAGTTATGCAGTTTGATGAATCATCAACGATTCCTGAACTTGAACAGGTTTCTATGGTAGGCGCATAACTCTAATTAATGTTTATTTGCATCTTTGTATTTTCATAACAATGGGAAACTACATGTGCATTTATTTTACAACAATACTAAAACACAAAAGTTCTTAAGTCTTGTTGTTACAGCCTGTATTAATGTTGAAAGTTTGTTTTTTTGTAGGATACTCCAACTGGACATGCTGGGAATTGCACAACATGCAAAACCCTGAGGAGTGAGGTGACTCAAGATCAGTGGGTTGAAACCTTTAAGAGCATACAAGAGCCGAAGCAGTTGCTGATGGTGAATACTGGTGAGTCAACAATAATTGATGTTGATGAGTCATATAGGCATAATGCCTATCTTTATATTTTTATTATATTTTATCAATATTTGATTATTTAATAATAATTAAAATTTTAATGGTGATAGAATTTTTTTAATTCCATTTGTTTAACCCATTCGCTCCTGGAGATTTTGCCCAAAAACGCGTTTTGAAGCTAGTCGAGTGGTTTTCTGGTCACTGTCGTGCTATAAAGAGCTAAAACTTACCACAAACCGGTTTACAGGTTGTACACTTGGCGGCCTTCTGATGTAGATGCAAAATATCAGCTTGTGAAGTTCGGGCATGCGCAGAAAGCAAAATTTCGACAGTTTTTGGGTTTAAAAGTGACACAGCAGTCTTGACTTTTACTTTTCGCTTTCTCTCCTCCCTTCTTTTTTCGCTTTTCTTGCCTCATTTTTTTTTTCTCTTGCTGGGCATTTAGTAGGCTTCATTTTGGTGGGAAGAGTTTTTAGGAAAGCTTTTAGGATCTTAGGATTAGGTGAAAGGAAAGGTAGGTGGGTAATGGAACAAGATTTTCATGGAGATTTTCAGGTTCTTGTCACGTGGTTTTTTGCTTCTTTCTCCGGTGTCCTTGACTGAATTGTGCTTATTCTGGTATGGTTTGAAAGAACTCTTCACTCTACACAAGTTAGCGAAGAAAGTTGTCCTTGACCATTAAAACTGATGACGTCACAAAGGGTAGAAAGGACCTGGATCCGCACGGGCGGTTACGGGCGGTTCAGGGGCGAATGGGTTAAGCTATTCAAACTGATCCATGGCCAGTAACAAATGAGACAGAGTTAGGGCTAGGGGATGAATCAGAAGATGAGCAGGAAATGCAGGACGACGTGTATGAGGAGTTTGAGTGTGATGAAGACCCTACATGGAGTCCTGAAAAAATCGAAGATGCATATAAAAAACTAAAGGAAGATGATGACTCGGTGAAGACTCATCAGAACCCAAGGTACAAAGATGCAAAATTTATTGCATTTTAACATCTTAGCTCTAAGTATCCTCTGGGAAGTGATTTAGGCCTAAAACTAACTTCCAGTATGAGAGGACCTATTAGGGACCTTTAGCATCAGGTTCTTCGTGGGAAACGGCAAACCGCAAACCGCAAAATATCACGTGACCATGGCCTTGCGGTCACGTTTGCAGTTTGCAGTTCACGTTTGAACCGCAGGAAGGGCTTCCAGCGGTAAGTGATTTACGGCAAGGTTTTGTGCCACAAAATTTTTACAGCCTCGCGTTTAAAGGTATGAACTAGCTTTTTGTATCCGTTTGCGATGTGTTTGTTGGATTTTTGATCTCGAATCAATGAATTATTGCTGAGTTTTGGGCGATTAAAGTGATGCACTTCGACTTGATGAAAACAACATGGCGGCCCTAAACAATGAACGCGTAGTTCAAATCAATTTTATATTCCTTTCTGCCGTACTAACAAAGGAAAGTATTCTGTTCCAATCCAGAGTTAATTTTTTTTTCTATCTTGTTTCTGAATTCATAACTTAACTCAGTCTCTGTTTGGTTCCTATTTTTAACGTATCACTCCGCGAATATCATTTTATTTTGCTTATCTCTTTTAGACTGGGGAGCCCAGGCTTCATAAAGCCTTCTGATTTCTTCTGGGCTCCCTTGCAACCTTACAATTCCTATATGTATTCTTGTATTGTATTGTATTTTGGCTAAATAAAAATGAGCTGTACAGAACTGAACTGAACGCCTTGCTAAAGTTTGAAATCTCGGCAACGCGAAACTGCAAACGCGTAACTGCGGTTTGCGGTCTGCGGTTTGCGGTTTACCGGATGCTAAAGGTCTCTATTTAGAAACAAGAGTACATGAATTTTTTTTTTAATTTACTCAGATAAGAATTGCAAAAAAAAAAAAAAAAAAAAAAAAAAAAAGACGCATAGCCAGCCCACAGACTGGAAGTCCCAGGCCTAAAAATGTTTGGTTTGTCCACTCAACCACTTGTAATAAATTATGCATCGTTGGGGTGGGCTAGATAGCTTAAGGGCTCAAAGTTGTCATGTGTGCAATCAACAGAATTATTATAAAAAAGCATTTTTCAGGATGTATGTGAGAATAAAATCCCAACCCACAATTAGCCAGGTTTACAACAAGTTGAAAAACTGGCAACACCCTGAGAAAAACAATAAAAATAATAATCATTTTTTTAATTGTTATTTTATTATTTCAGATGCTATGATTAAATGAGTATTTCCTTTCAATCATTTTTTACAGGTTGGATCCACAAGGAAAAAACATTCGAGAGGAACCGAAGGGAATTGTTTTCCTTTCCAAACTTCTTCTTTTGTTTCAGTTCTGCCACTTGTGCTTCTTTTCAAAACCCAAACTTTCTGTATCACAGACAGGTACCTTGTTAACCATAGAAAGTTTCTGCAGAAACTGTAGCCAGTCAAAAGTCTGGAAGAGTCAGCCAGACCTGCTAGGAAAGTTTCCAGCAGGTAACCTGCTATTAAGTTTTGCAGTGCTCTGTGAGCTGAGTGAAAAGAAAGAAACGATACATTAAAACTGTAATTAAATTCAGGCTGAATTCGATGTCATTTTTATTACTTGTGTACATGAAAATTGGAGCAACATCAGAATTCCCAGCCACTAAACTTGAATTTAACTGAACGCTAGAAGAACAGGGTCTCGCACGGTGGGCAAGTTTGTCATTCAACAAAAAGCGACTAAGTGGCTGAGAATTCTGAAGTTTGGCCATTAAAAAATTAAGTGCTTACAGACAAGTATTCAAGCAACTACTGTAGGTCCTTCTTGGCCCCAATGGCATACATGACACTCTTCAAGAACAAACAGTGCATTTATTATTCATTTTCTTCATCTTCGAATCCACGATAATGGCCATTTTGACTCGGAAATTGTTTCCTGATTTTACTGTAGGCACAACAGGGCAAGGGGTATCGCCTGGAACTACCAATATTACTCCACAGCAGTCTTGTAAATTGGCCATAGGCCACAGACCTCAGGAATCTAGTTAGACAAATGAGATCACTGTTAACTGAAGGAGGGATTGGATGGAGATAAATAAATACTCCTTTCAAAAATAAGCAGTTGGAGCAATAAAGCCATTTAGAAAATAAAAAATGTGATTCTATGAGATCAGTCCACGGCGATAAGCTTAGATGTATGTATTATTCAATGCTATGAGTAGTAAGAGGGGTCACTACGGTACAGACCAATCAGAGAGCCGGATTTAGGTCACGTGGTACACGTGGACCAATCAGCGTGCAGCAGAAGGTCATGTGACCTGTCAATCATCATTAGTGATTTAATTGTCAATTTCATGACGCTAATGAGCTCTCAATCATTCATTAGTTAATGAGTGCATCTAATGAGCTGTCAATCATTCATGAGTGACGTCATAGGGGTGATGACGTGTTGTAAAAGTGACCTCGTGTCACGTTGGGGTGTGGCCCTGTTACCCTAACCCTAGAGCCCTGTTACCGTAACTCTAACCCTAAGGGCTCTTATATTGGTAGACGAACTTGAAGTCTCGTCCATGTGGGAACCCTAAGAGAGAATTCGCGAGGGCGCATGCCCACACCATAAACTTGGGTTTTTGGGGGTCAACGGTGTTTTCCTGGGTCCTGACCCTAACCCTAGGTTGGGGCTGGGTCGAGGTCCCCCCCGGACAGTCTCTCCCCGGTGGTCACGTGGGTATTCCCTAGGGAATTCAAAAAAAGGAAAAAAAATAAACACATTTTTTTGGCACAGTGTTCAAACTCAGGTTTATTACACTTGAACCCTAACGTTTTACAAGCGGGAACGTGTGCCCGACCTTAGTGGTGTGGGGCGTCCCTTCCATTTGTTTTCAACATTGGCACGGTTCTGGAATGAAAGGCAAGTCCTCCTCATAGTCTTCTAAGGGAGAGTCTATGTCCGAGAACAGGACCGACAACACCATGTCGTCCACGATGTCCTGACTGGGTCGATAACCGTAAGGGGTACGTCATGCCGGTATCGGCATCCAGCACCCGTTTGTCTTGGACTATGCAGTAGGTCTTGCGTTGCGGCACGCAATGGAGCGTCTTGTCGGTGACGTTCCGTACGATGTGATGGGGGTTGTCGACGGACAGCGTTCTGGGACGATCGAGAGGCTCGTCGATGTCTTTCTGCACCAGGTTTCGGACGCTCTCGAAGTTCAGGACGGCTTGTCCCCGGGCGTCCACGGTGAAGCCGCGCACCTTGCAACATTCTTGTCCCGAACGGGTGCGGTAGGCGTAATTTTTGGGTCGCCGGCCACGAATTCGTCGATGACGTCGCCTTTCAGTTCGTCCTTGAATTGGCCCAGGAAACGTCCTCGCGGCAGGTGGGTCTCGCCTTGGGTGGCCAGGTACACCACGGAATCCGTGTCCATGTACAGCACGCGGGTGTGCAGGGGGAGCAGCCCGTCGTGATACAATTTGACGCGCGCGTGAGCCGTGGTGAAGGCGGCCACGAAGATGTTGGTGTTGGTGCCCAGTTCGCCCACGTCTTCCTTGAACGAGTGGTACACGTCGATCATCTGTTCGCCGGCCGGCAGGATGCGATGGATGTCGCGTTCGCCGTCCAGAAAGATGTCGAAGAAGTTCTCGAGGTCCTTGCAGGTGGTCACCTGGGTCTTGTTGGTGCGTTGACCGAATTTGCCCCAGAAACTGTTGGCCATCAATTTGCTCAACGTGCGTCGACCCTCGTTGCGTTCGATCTTGGCCGGGTCGAGGATCACCCCTTCCACGCGCCGAAACTCTTCCAGGTACTCGATTTGCAAGCCGGGATCTTTTTCCACCTCGGGCGAGGGCCAGCCGTCGGCTTCCTGTTTCACCTTGATCCAGGTGTTGATGTAATCCCTGAACAGGGTGGTGGAGGTCGTACGAAAGTTCCACAGTTCGTAGATGTGCAGGATCACGTACCCTTGGTCCAGGGCCTGCACCAATTCGGGCGTGCACCAAGTCCCCACGAAGGCTCGTTCGCGAGGGGTGTGGTCGCAGATGTGGGTGCGTTCCGTCCAGGGTAGGGGCAGTTGCTGTCGGGCGCATTGGACGCACAGGGGAAACAACAACTTGCCGGCCACGCGGACGGGCAGCACGGGATGAAACAGGTAGTGAGGCGGCAGGATGCGGCATTGGACCAACCCGTACGATTGATGGCGCACCAGTCGGTCCCAGTCTTCGGGGGTTTGGCAGGTGAACTGCGTGTGAATGACGGGATGACCCACGGGGTACTTGCAATTCTTATTGACCCACGGGTACAGGGACGTGAAATCGTTGTAGAAGATGTGTTGGTCCGGCTGGGCCTGACAGTGGGCTCGCACGGCTTCGGTCCGTCCGCCGAAGAAGGCCTCGCGGGGATCCAGGGGCGACACCAGATCCAGGGTCTCGGCCCACAGGCGCAACTCGGGATCCTCCCTCTTTTGGGCGTCCCACTCGCACTCCCACTTTTCGACCATCACGTGACCGCCTTGACGAATGCGTTCGGCCCGTTGGACCGTGCGCGTGTACAGTTCGTGGGGCGTGGCCCCGTCGAGTTTGGCGTGCCGCTGGTGTCGCTGGGGAAAACATTCGGGGCACCCGTGGTAGAAACAGCCGTAGAATTCGTACACGAACCCGGTGCGCGGATCATAGCCGTCCCCGTGGTAGCGATGCTCGCCGATCCGGAACAGCACTTCGCCTCCGTTCCGACTGTGGCGTAGGCGCGGTTCCCCGTCCGTGGGTGGGGGCAGGATGCGTTCCAGGTGGTACAACCACTCCAAGGCGGCTCTCGATTGGCGGATCTGCGGATGCGAGCCGTGCAGGGGTTCGACGGCCAGGGTTCGGGGCCGCATCCAATGCTGACGGTAGGCCACGTTGCACGCCGAGGCGATGGTGATGCATTGTTCGAAGGGGTCGAACCCGCAAATGCCCCTGAATTCGCGCTCGAAGAGGGTACACGCCTGTTTCAGGATCCTGACGTCGGACTGGCAGTATTTCAACAGTTCGGCTTGCAGGTTGAACACGCGATTGGACGCCACTTGTTCCGCGTACCATAGTTCGAAATCGGCGCGACGGGCCGGTTTCATGCCGTCGGGATCGTAATACTGTCGGGCCGGCATGGCCCCCACGTACTGCTGCAAGGTGGGTACGTTAAAGAAGTGGGGAAAGAACCCCTTGGCTTCTTCCCGCAAGCCGAAGGTCTGGGGAAACGAGGCCAGGGCCATGGGAAAAAAGTTCAAACTGTCGATGAATTTGATTGCCCCGGGAATGGCGACGCTCAGGAGTTTGGCCCCGTTGACGATCTGCGAAGGCATCACCGCTTGCTTGTACAGTTCCTCGAGCAGTAGGTACCCGTCGTACCCCTGGAAATTATGCGCGATCAACACGAACGGGAGGCGTCCGGGGACCGTCACTCTCAGGTGCCACACCCAGGCCATGAAGTCTTGCATGGACGGAAACTGGTAGCGTTGATCGTCCACACTGGTCTCGGCGCACACCAGGTTCACGCGATGCGCCTCCCCGCCTTCCTGCATGCACTCGCAATCAAAAAAGATTTTGACGACGGCCTGTTCCTCGGGCACGGGTCCCGGCTGGCCGGTACTGGTGGTGGGGTGTTTGCGTTTGGGCCCTCGACGTAAGGGGATGGCCTGGATGAAACATTTGTGGTCCCACACGTCCACCGTGAGCCCGCAATTGTAGCACGGTTGATAGCCGCACAGGTGGCTGAGAAAGGCCTGGTAGCTCTTGAAGGTGCGTCCGCAGTGCCCGCAACACCGTAGTTGGGCACACACGTTGTCGAAGGTCAGCGGGTGAACCCTCGCGCCGCTGGGAGAACGGATGGTGTGCAGTTCGAGGCACCGAGGGCCAAAGAAACGGCGATGGCAATGGGGGCACAGTTCGGTGGCGGCGTCTCGGGCAGGGTGGGTGGCAAAGTCCGAGCAGTCCGTTTGTTGGCAACAGTAACACTTGAAACCGGGACACCGATGATGACTAAAGTCCTTGGTCTTGAACCCTTTGCGGCACCGCAAGCAAAAGTAGTTCACGCCAAAATACGCGTTCAATTTGGTGATGACGTCGTAATGTCCCTGGTGGGCTAAGAGAATCAATTGGTGCAGGGCGGTCGGGCCGCAATGCACGATGGCATTCCCGTGATCGGCCGAGACCACGATGACTTGGTAGTCGAGCAGCACCTTTTCGAAGTCGCGTATTTCGGGCAACCCGCAAGGCCCTTCGGGCACTTTGGCCAATCGATGCAATTCGCGGGCTTTGGCCTTTTGGACATCGCGCCCTTGCCGGATGATATTGTATTCGCTCATGTGAAGACTACTTTCATCTTTGTGTCGGTAGGCTCGCGCCGTCACCAGGGCCCGTGCGCAGCAGAGATCGTCCTTGTTGGTGATCTTGATACAACTGTGTTTGCTCTTGACCATATTGACAAAGGCGTCGGACCCGAGTTTACGACGGCCCGTGCCGCGCGGTGGCCGCACGTACGTCAAGTCCACCACGAAGGTATCGTCCACGGCAAAGTCCTCGTTGGAGTTCAAGAGGGCCGTCATCTGTTCGAGCAGATGCCGCGCGGGCCCTTCCGTGTGGCGCCAATCTCTCACCCGTACGCGGGCACTGGTAAAATTATTGGCCAAGCGGTTGGATCCCAGGTAGATCTGCAAATAATCGTCGTCGTGCCACGGACGCGATTGCTCTCGGCTGGCTTGGCCCAGGGCGCGAATCACTTCCTCCGAGGCGTCGCCCGAGCTGGGTTGGCCTTGCAGGCGTCCCCGGAACGTTTGCCAGGTGACGCCGAACGAGGGGCGGTGACGGACGGTGTAGGGGGTGAGCTGGAACCGGAGCCCGCCACCGGATTGTCCTTCGGCGGCTTGCAGCGCTTGCAGACACGCTTCGTCGTCGCTGCTGTTGCTGGTGGTCGGCAGGCGTTCGTCGCATTGCAACTGGCGTCGACTGTTCCATTCGTCTCTGTCCGGGGTCGACTCGCTGGAGGTGCCCTGAAGGTTTGAGAAAAAACAAACCGAGACAAGTTAGTCTCCTGAGAAAAAGACAATGCATCAGTGGATGGAACGACAGAGGAAAAAGTGGGAAGTAACCCTAAGAGGAAAGCCTAAAAGGAGTGAAGGGACAAAACAAGAGTGAAGGGACAGTAGCTGGTGTGAGGGACAAAAAAAAAAAACGAAAGGGGAGAGAGGGGAGCAAGATGGAGGAAGGTGAATGGGGTGGGGAAACAGGACGCAGACGATGGATCAACTCGTGGACAAGAGGGGAAAGAAAATACCAAGGAGGGACTGAAGAGTGACTAACAGTACAACTGGGGGTCCAACCAGGAATGACTGAGAGGCCAATTGCACCCAAAGATTCTCCAGCTGGTAGACCGGCCGAGAGCCTTCGGTTGACAAACACGAGGACCTGACACGCAGAACACACCACCAAGACCCTTGTGACAGAGAAGGACCTTTCCCCAGGAACGTAGTGCAGGTGACGGTGGAGGGTCGACCAGCCAGGACCAGGCATTTCCCAGCTACAATACACACCCACTTCGTCCATGCCTAGACTAGCAGCAGCCTACACACCTACGCTCATGCCAGTCCAATTCCCAGGGATAAAAGTCAGTTAGGAGAAACCTACCTTGAAAGTCGGTTAGGAGAAACCCACCTTGAACACGAGTGTCCGCCGAGGCGCTGGATAAAACCTTCGGCAAGCTGACCCGAGTCAACTGACTCCAGCCTCTCAAGTTGACTCGGGACCCTTACCAAGTCCCAGTGAACCTAACCTGATATCACCGCCAAAGAGTGGACCGAGACAGGCAGCCACGCCCAACAGAAAAAGTGTCCACATACAATGCCAAAGAAGCAGAGGGTTCCCCATCGATCGGTTTAAAGCACACAGACGAAACCAGCGTCATGAACAGAGCGTCTCAGAGAGATGCCTCGAACGGGGAAGTCCAAACCACTCAACGTCCCATGCACTCCAACTTGTCCGTGAACTCCAAGCCAAAAATGCTGCTGATGATAAAATGGAGATCGTCCATCTCAGAGGGGCTCTTTCCTGTCGCAGTAACCCACGGCCTGAAACTCGGGCGCAGTTGGTCCCGGCAGACCAACATTGAAGAATCAGATCCAACCCATCAGAGACCATCGTCGACCAATAGCTTCCATCATCCACATGAAGTACAGCCAACACAAACCTGACCCTACAAAAGACAGGTATGCACAACGGGAATCCCATGTGGTTCCATACGACCCAAGGGGGGTGGTTTCGTGCAGGATCTTGCAAAGCCCAGGAAAATCTCCCCATACCTATCCTCTCAGAAAACACGCCCGATATCGAACAAATACCAATGGAGCTCTGACCAAGTCCAATGGTTCTCGAGGACGAACTTCCACGAATCCAACATAAGGGCAGCTGGAATGCATCAGGAACCCTGTGGCAGTGAAACGATTCAGGATGTCCCTGTGCCAGTGACGGAAGACTGGCTTGGACCAGGGATTCGGCAGAACAAGCAGTCAACACACCAAACGATGATGAAGAAAGGCTGGAACAGATGTCCCACCCAAAAAACAAGGTGATGGAACGGATGACGCTCCTCGAAAGGTGGAATGGACTTGCTTGTTCTGCACGACATGGCTATGGAAAGGTCTTGCTCGATGTCGTGGAGGGGGTGTTCAGGGACCACAGTGTTCCCCCAAACACAACGCGTTCGACTCGTCAGGTTGTCTCTGTTTGGGTGTGACCCAACCACTTCCATTTCTTCCCCAGGGAACACCAAGGACAAGCCATGGAAAACACCGTCTGCGAGAGCGCACAAACAGACGACTGCTCAGGCAACCATCCAAGAAGTACTCCACAAGCCGATGTTTCGCGCAACGTTCGTCACGTGCTCGAGGACTCATCAGGGGGATAAATACAGACGGGCCAGGTGACAGACGACCTTGAGAACTGGGTGTCTCCCAAAAAAAAGTCACCAAAGAAGCCAATCAACAGGATGTGTCCCGGTGAGGAAAGCACCGACGAACCCACACAGTCAGGCATCAGCATCACGGGTCCAAGGTAGATGGGGCATCCGGCAACTCACTGAGGCAGGGTGTCAATGTCCAGTTCACTTGGCCAGGCTACGAGGTAAAGCAAGTTGGGAACCTGTCACTGTTTTGCAATACCACGCCCACCTGTTTCACACACGCGTCCCTGGATTGTCATCGCCGACGACTGAGGGTATCCTCTGTGGTGGTGATCCACCCCGAGGTCTGTCAGACGAAACCACTTCTCTAGGCTCATGGGTACAGCGATGGAAAGGAAGCCAACTTTAGCCCTTCACGTCCTCGCAGCTTGACGACTTCTGCTCGGCGAATAACTGCTTACCAGAAGGGCAGCAAGGGTGTGGCCGAACAGGGAGAACTGCAAGGATTTTGAACGCTCCAATCGCATCTCCAACAGCATCTCAAAATGATCCCAAGGGATGGTAGTTCACCGTCGACTCTATCCAACAGCATCTTCCCAAGGGATTGGATTTCATCGTCGTCTACTTTTTCAGGTGGCCCTGTTACCAGATCCAAGCGGACACACCAGTGGATGTCTGGAGTAACCATGCTTGTCAGGTGGCTCTGTTCTTTCCCAGCATCAGCACTGCTTGCTCAGGTAGGTCGGTTCGTTCTTCCCCGGCCTCAGGAAATGCATCCCTCGGCAACCAAGGGATACGTGAACCCACAGGCGGCGTCCTTTCAAAGGCCAGCCAAGCAGGTCATCCCGGTGGTCTTGCTGTCACTGGATTGGGCAAGGAATGCACCCTACTTACCTCGATAAGGTCAGAGTCCGAGAGGGAAGCTGTTGGAGCTTCATTTTCACAGACGGCCACGTCCAGAGTTCCAGGCTACAGCGGCGGGGGCTAAAAAAAGCAAAGACAAAGGCAAGCGACCAATCCAGAGGAGAATCGTCCAAGGGAAAACCTCCAGATCACCAAGCTAGGAGACGATCAAGAAAGGAGAGCCAAGTGGCGCAAAACGGAAGGGAGAGAGTTATTGGCCAGCACGAAGAAAAAACGCAGTGGATGAGGACAGCCAAGAAAGTCCAACAGCGAAAACCTGCTCCTCCTATGAGAAAAAACCGGCCAGAATAAAAAAATACCAAAAAAACAGAGACAGCTTCTAAAACAGGTGCCAACCAGAAAACCTACCCGTAAGGGAAAAGGGGAGGGGGCAACGTGGACTCCACCTTGCAGCCAGGTATCACAGTCCACTGGAAGACGAACCAAATTCAGCAAAGCGAGACGGAGAGAAACGAGGTGTCGGATCCTTTGGAGCACAAGGTCTCCATCACGCAAGACATCCCGTTGAGTCGAGAAAGAACGGAGAGGGACTGACTTGTCCCGGTTTGTCTTCGACCAAACCGGGTGGGCTCAGCTTCACATCACGGCCCAGTCGGTTCCCGTGGGTGAAAAAATGAAACATTTACCTGCGGTGGCCTGGCGTCGCGGCGTGGTGACGATGGTGGTGGTGGTCGTGGTCGTGGTCGTGGTAGCACCTAAGTGGAACGAACAAAGGAAGAATAGGCCAGGGGTGCTAGGGACGCGGGAGGTGGGTGGCAGGGGCGCGGGAGAATTCAACCGATGGGTTCCACTTACCCGATCGTCGTGGTCGTCGGGAGGACCAGCGGAAGACGGTGGTGGCGGCGGCGGTGGATCCATGCTCTGTAAGTAAACCCCATGGTAAGAATGAGCGTGAGGGGGACACAGGGGCGAGGGGACATTCAAACCATGGACTCCACTTACCCGACAAACGCCAACACAAGCGTCGAAAACGGGCCAGACCCAACTCTTGTTGACAGTGAGGGCACGTGGGGGTCGGACGGGACGGACTGATGGCCAAGGCCGGGTACAAACAGGCTTTATGGACCAGCACGCGGCAACAGGGGGTACGGATGACGGCTCGGACCAGTTCCCTCGCACACAGAAGGCACCAATCAAAACGAAGAGGCCACACCATACCAAGAAAGAACACATGAAGATGCTTTTGAGTCGACTGGAGGAAAGAGGCCTTTTTATGGTGTGTGAGGAGGGGTCTCACCGATTGGGACCTCCCTCTAACAAAGCCCTAAAAGAGGGGGGATACCCCCCCCCCCCATCCCCCTCTTTGGAGGGTAGGTCGAGAGAGCCCGGGACCTAGGCAAGAGGGGGGTATATAGAGAGCCGGGGAAAGCCCGTTGCATTTTCACTGCCAAGGGTCGCTTTCTCATCAGACTCATCTTGGTTGTTCATGTTTGGTTCCTGTTCTGACACCGGCTAACTCCCCATGGCGTCCCCTTTGAAGATTGTTGGCAACGAGGCGAAATGTTATAGTTCCGTTCACCAAGGGGCCGACATCGCCCGAGGTACGTTGGAACGAGTCGTTCACCCTTACCCTCTACGCCACGCGCACACCTGGCCGCGAGCCCCTTGCCATTGTATTTGGTTATTGTGCAGGGTGTTTGTGCTGGTGCAGTCGCAACCGACCAACGTGCACACCTTCTTGACCAAGCGAGAGCGTGGAGGGCCTCACCCCGTGTTGGACTCGGCCGAGTGTTACCACCACAGCGGGTGGGTGTGCGATTGCCATTATTATGGGGTCGGCAAATCGGCACCGCCCGACTCGGACTGAACACTTTTTTTTGTTTGTTTTACAGATGGTGTACGCATCGAGAGCGAATCCCAGGAACAATGCGAGTGGATGTATCGTATGTTTTCACACCATTCCTTACCGTCCCCTGCCTCGTGGTGTTTCACCCTGTTGAGCAAGGAACTCCCCGCGCTGCTCAGATGTTTAACCACGGGCAATTCGGATCGAGTGAGCAAGAGACTGTTGGGCATCTTCACGTACCTCACGAAATGGAATCCCAAGACCCAGACCCTGCCCCCCCCCGGAACCCATCGAATTACGGGCGATGATTTGTTGTGGCCTCACCAAGGAGATGCTGCCTTTACCGACAGCGGTCAAGATCCACCCTGCCTTCGATTTCTTGAAGATCTTATTAGCTGAAGCCGAGATCGTGCCCGACGAGGCCCTTTATGAACGACCCGTCTTTAAAGTGTACGGTCGGTGTGACGAATGCCAAAAATTGTTGCGTGAATGCCCCACCAAGAAGGACGTGGGTTTGGGCCCCACCGAGGTCATGTATGTGATGATGCCACCCGAGTGGTGTGAACCGGTGGATTGGAGCGAGTGTGACGAGGGATGCTCCAAAGCAGCCTAGGAAGGGATATGGGGACGATTTTCAAGTGTGACGATTTTCAAGTGTGACGATTTTTTCAAGTGTGACGATGTTCAAGTGTGACGATGTTAAGTGGGACGATGTTCAAGTGGGACGCCATGAACCCAAAAAATACTGAGATGTAAACCGTACACTGACAAAAACAACACTTTATTTAGGTCGCTAGAACTCTACTTTAGATAAACCACAATGTAAGTCTTTGCCACAATAAAACACGTTACAGTTTCAATTTGCGTTTGGCCTGCATGATTTTTTGGACGATGCCTTCGGTCCAGGTCTTTTTTCCCGGGAGGGATTGAATGGCGCGAATCATCTTGTCGTCGGCTTTCCACTTGTCCTGATGCGAGCGCGCGTGAGAATAATCAATGTCGTGTTGTTTCGCAATGCGGTCCAACCGGTTGATGCCGGGATCCCCGCGCTTCAGACGTTTCTCCAAATGGGTGCCTGGACCCATGTATTGGTACCCCGGCCAATGAAATTCGATGCCTGTCTTGGCCAACCATTTTTGCACGTCCAAGCCCCGACCGACCATGCGACGCCGGCCACGGCGCGACGCGCGGGGGCGGCGGCGGCGTCTAGTAGTCCTTGCCATGCAGTTTCCGCTGCACCTTTTCTCCCCACTCGCTCCAGCCGGGTTGTCGTTTCAACTTCAGCACTTCCTTGGCCAGTTTCTTGCCCTCTTTGGCCGCCTGTCCAAATCGACTGGGTTTCTTGACGGTCAAGGGGGGTCTCGAGACCGTGAGAGGCGACTTGCCTTTGCTCAACGTGGCACTCCCTTTCCTCTTGGACGTGCTGGGAATGGGCTCCGCCAATTCCTCTTCCCAATCGTCGGCCGGTAACGGCAACGAGATGGGTGTCTTGGGCGGGATTTTCGGCTTGGGTGGGAGTTTCGGCTTGCCTTTGGGTGTGGCCTTGGGTTGGGGCGTGCTGCTTTTTATAAGCGTTTTCAAGAAGGTCTCCATGGGTCCTTGGGCAAACTCGTCGTCGTCGTCAGCCCCCGCCGCCGCGCCTCCGGCCCCCGGCAACGACATGACTCGCACGCGTTTGGTAGCTCGACGCACCTCGGGTCCCAGGGCCTTGACGCGGATCTTTTTGGTGGCCGGCGGGATCTCGGGGGAGGCCAGCAAGACGTGTTGTTTGGCCGCCAACCGCGCGGCATGGGTTAACCGCGAATTCTCCATCAACGTGCCTTTGTATTGTTCCACCAACCGCTCCATGTCTGCCGGGGACACCAGGTACTTTTTCTGGTACGGCCCGTGACTCATCCTGACAGGCAATGACGACACACGCGATCCAAGGCGTGCCACATTCCCGCCCCGGTTTGAGCCATCATGACCTACCGTCGCCGTTTTATGGAGCCACGCCCACGGCCACGACGTCCCCCTCCTCCGTCGCCACCGCCACCGCCGCCACCCCCGGGCGGGCCTCCATCGTCGCCCCCGCCACCCCGTCCGGGTGGCACTCCGCCGCGTCCCCGGCCTCGACCTCGACCTCGCCCTCGGGGTCGGGGTGGTGAAGGGGTCCGGGATGTCGGGGAACGGTTGACGATATACTGCTGCAATTGGTCCTTGGTGAGACCCAAGGACGTCAACAGATCCTCGATCTGCCCGGGTAGAAAATTCCCTCGGGCAATCCGTTCCAGGACGTCGATTTGTTGGCTACTTAACGTGGGCGACCGTGGACGTTCGGCGATGTAATCGGTCAATTGTTTAAACTCGAGCCCCACCGAGTTCAACAGGGCATCGATGTCCTCTTCGGGCACCTCGTTTCGAAGAATCCGTTCCATGACGTCGATTTGTCGGGGACTAAACGTGGGCGACGGCAAGTCCCGGGCCGCGGTCCGGATGGCCGTCACGCTGGGCACGCCCGAACTTGGTGACGACACATTGGGCGCGACGCCTACCCCGGCCGGCGGGGCCGTGGGGATGCCCGATAGGTCCATGGCCCGTTGCAAGGCATCCCGCACCCCCGTCGGCGTGACGAGGGGGGACCGTAAGACGCCCACCGCCAAGGGCGTGGTGTGCCCTTCCAGACGTTCCGATAAGTCCCGTTGCAGACCTGCCTGGCGACTCCGCAGTTGTCGCGCCTGTTCTCGAGCCAGTTCATTCTCCCAGGTCAATACGTCGAAATCCAGATCGTCCCGAAACTCGTCGGACGAGGGCGTTGTCCGTCTACTCATGCTTGGCGTTCATAGGTCTCGGTCGGTACTTCCTCCGGTAACACGTTGGTGAAGAGACGGTACCGATCGTCTGACGCGGGATGCAGGTCCAGCATTAAATAGCCAAATGGGCGTTGGGTGCATTCGCGAAAGATGTTCATCACGTGCGACCAGTCGTTGGGAAAGGCTTGCAGGGTCAACGTGCGCATGCCCACTTGATCCCGCGGATTCTTGAACGCCACGATGTAATGCGCATTGCGCGAAATGGTCTTGGCGAATTTCCCGGGCGGGAAGAGATCCTGGCATAAGAACAGGACGCTAATGTTCCGATGATGCGAGTGCTTGGAAAAGAGATCCAACACGCGTTTGTCGTTGGCGCCTTCGTCCATGAGATCGTCCAACACCAAGAGTCCCCCTTGCGTGGGACCGAGCCATTGGTCCAACTCCTCCGACGTGGGCAGTCCTTCGTGAAACTGCACCTTCTCTTGCTTCATCTCGTCAAAGGCCGGTTGCCAGGCCCCGTAACAATAATGTTTCACCCGAGGAGGTGGGTGCATCAGTTCGTCGGCGTGACGTAACAACCCGCGCGTCCACGTCGATTTCCCGCACCCCGACGGGCCGCCCACCAGCGTGTTGCAGGGATGACGAATCATGGCGTCACCATGGCGTACAATCGCGGCGAGGCCTCTTTTATCAGGGTCCGCGTGGTCTCGACCACGGCGGTCTCCGGGCACGCGTCCAAGGCCCGGGCCAACCCTGACCAATCGCTGGCCCAGACCAATCGACGAAAGGTTCGATAGTGTCCATAGTCCCACGTGTCGCACAACGCGTCGACGGGGTTCAGCAGCATTTCCATCAACAGGCGTTCGTCCAAGGCTTCCAGGACGCGTCGCTTATCTTGGCGCGTCAACATTTTTCTCACCCAAAAAAAAACAGCACGTCGCCGCGAGCGCACCGGTTTTTATGGAGCGCCCGCGACGACGTGGCGTGGACCCTATCGGACTCGAACCGATGACCCGCGGCTTGCAAAGCCGCCGCTCTACCCCCTGAGCTAAGGGCCCCTTGGTTGAGTACGGGGCACCCCCGCGGCCAGACTCGGTCAACTTGTCCCAGGGTAGCACTATTTGTTGAGAACACCGGACGTGCCCACCACCGGCCGGGAGAGAACCCTTGGGGAATCGGACCGACCGCTCGCGCGGAGGCCCCCCGCACCCACTCCCTCCCTGGTCCGCGTCCCCTTTATATGTCCGTCCCTGGTCATCGTCTCCCCCTTGTGGGACCCACCCAAAAAACACACACGTTTTTTTCCTTAAGACTCGTTTAATACAGGCAATAAACAACGTCGAGAGACACAGCGTTGCGTATCCGGTCCATCGGGTTCGTCCATGGCCGCTTCGTCCAGTTTGGACTGGATCCAAGCACGCGTTCCCCCACGCGATGATCGTTCCACACGTAATCGCCGTCTCGAAAACTTTCCACAAACTCCAGCAGGGTCCGTCCACGCACGCGGTCTTGCAGGTAGGTAAAGGCATAGTGGCCACAGGCCCGACTGTCGTAGGCCTACAGGGTCCTGTCGGTACGCACCACGTACTTACAATGCTTCGCGATCCATTCGTGCAATCCCGGCGCCTCGTAGACGGTCAACGGCAACCCGTAACTGTCCATCACTTCGCACACCCCCTGGTTCGTCCAGAGACCCAACCAATGCTGGCCCGGTTCGCCGGCCGGGTCCGTGTTGACGATGTAGGCGCCTCGGGTGGTCTTGGGCGGGTGCTCGGGCAATCGATCGGAGGGATAGACGCCTTGGAACACGCGCTTCAACTCGGGGTCGGAGAGCGCCAAGGCTCTCAATTGACGATCGCTCAACGCCACCAGTTCCATGGTCCAACTACGCCCTGGAACCCTTTACACTTTGTTATCATACGTCACGGCGCCCAGGTGATCGATGTAGATGACGCTTTCAAATTCTCCCCACACCAAGATGGTGATGTTGGCGTTGAGGGCCGCTCTGAACTTGATCTCCAGACGCACGTTGCCGGTCTGCTTGGGATTGAGTTTGGGGCCATCGGCGTCCCCGCTGGGCACGTTGTTCCACATGTACAGGGTGCAATTCTTGTTGTGCCCCCAATCGCCCGGTTTGACCATAAACTCGCGATGTTTGGCCACGGACCCGGCCGCGTCCAAGAAGCGACGATGGCCTTCCCAATCTTTCAGCGTATTATTCCCGGCGAATTCCAGGGTGACGTACGGGTACTCTTCCCCCTCGATAAACTGTCGAATGGACGTCACCCCTTTGCTCTGGAAGGCAAACGGGTACTTTTCCTTGGCCCCATTGAAAGCCGTGCTGTCCAAGATCCCCACGATCATGCGCTGGGGTACCCTACCCAGAAAGAGGTTATCTTCCATCCACACGGTGGTGGCCCCGTTGAACGAGAACGTGCGAATCTGATCACTCACCACCGGGTACTTGACCACCTGCTTGCGGAGCTTGCGTTCCCCTTCCAGGGACGAGTAGACATCCGGGTTAGACTCAATCGGCACAAATGCAAGGTGATGTCCACATCTTGTTCTCGCAACCGAACGTAGGCCTTCGTGCCATCGTTGAGAGACGCCCACGTGTAGAAATCGGGACTGTTGAAGTGCAACTCAAAATTCATTTCCACCCCGGGCACCATGATCTTGCCCGTATGGAACACGGGTAGGTACGGCCGCATGATCATACGGACCACGGCATTGCCCCGGAAAGGGGTGGTCAGGGTTTTGAGCAGGTGATCCTCGTTGTGACGGGACCCTACCAGCGTGCTAATGTCGTCTCCCCCGCCACTGGTCAACGTGGGCCACACGTTCAAGAAATTGACCCAGCTTTGAGGAGCCAGCAACGTCTCTCCATCGTCCTGGCTGTAGTTGAGCAGGGTCTGAAGATAGGCCGAGTAGGCATAGGTGTCGGTCTGTTCGGTCATTAGGGTGCCATTGAACCGCACGTTGATCTGCTTGAAGATGGTGTGGGCCAGGTTGTTGACGGCGTACGTGAACTTGGTGTTGTTGGCATCCGACGCCGAATTGGCATCGGCCACGATGCCGTTGGTGCCCGACGTGGACAAACGCAAGTCGATCACGAAATAACTGCCATTCAAATCCACGTAATCTTCCAAGGACTGCACCGAGAACTTCATCGGGGTGATGCTGCTGCTCAATTTGTGGTCGGGCACTATTTTGTAACCCTGCAATTGATAGTCGGTCGACGGGACCGAGAAAATGTCCAAACTGCTCATGATGCCGAGGACGTGGAGTGCGTCTCCTCCTCAGCGGCGTCGTCGTTTTATACGCATCCTGGACGCCACCCATTTGTGGAAGTCGTACCCCGGCGGCTTGGGAAAGTGAGGACCGAGCCATCCTCCGCGCTGGGCGCGACGTTGTTGGGCCAACAACCATTTGGTCAAGTCGTACGCTGGCGGCTTGGGCACGCTAGCACTAATCCATCCTCTTCGTTGTCGTCCAAACGGCGAGGGCACGCTCCGTTGATAGCGAGGCCGGGATTGCACCATCAACCTTCGTGGACGAGTCATCTCTTACACGCCCAGCACGTCGCGAATGCGTCCGACCGTGTTCCGATACCCTTTCTTGGCCGTCGATGCTGCCGACCTCTTGGCGACCGTTGCGGCAATGGGTAGAGCCTTGCGTTTCAACCCTCTTTTTATCTCTTGGCCGGCCGCCCGTGCCACCCCGCGCCACGACTGCCCTTGGGCGCCCGCCCGCGCCCCGACTTGGACGGCACTGGCTAGAATCGGTCCGCCCAAACGATAGAGATCCTCTCGAAGTCCTCGTCCATCCTGCGGTGGCAGGGGTGGTGGACGGTACCGCGTCAGACTGCCTCCCCACATGAAGTGATACGTTCCCCCAAGGCACGCGCCTTTTTTATACGTCTCGTTTGAACACGAAGATGATCAGGGTGCGTCCCGAGCCGAACTTGACGAGACCACCGTGACTCTCGGCTATTTCCACCTCCACGAGGTCCATGTACTCGCGCCGACACGGTAACCACTGAATGTGCAAGGGTTCAAAGTAGGCCACGCCCTGGCCTAGGCGCCGGTACTCCACTTCGCGCACCAGCGCATGTTGTTGGCCGCCGACGATATTGCTGTCCACCAGGTCCGAGTAGACCAGAAAGGTGCGCGAGGGTTCCCCCACCACCTCTCGGAAAGCGACGTTCAAGTTGCTGAAGCGCCAATTGATGGTCTGACTCAACTGTAAGTGGTCGCTTTCTATTTTCCAAAGGTCGTGGTTGTTCAGTTCCGTGTTCTTGACGTCTTTGTAATAATTCCCCGACTGCTGCGTCTTGTAAATGAGTTCGTAACGGGAGATTGGGCCCCAAGGCGTACTTGTCCTTCCCCGTCTCCACCAGCCACCCCATCAGTTTAGCCATGCTCACGTGCACGTGCCATTGCACGAACGACATGCCGGTCGTCAACGCAATGTCGTCCAAGTCCTTGGCCAGCATACGCAGGTCCTCGCCGTCCCATTCGTACGTGACCCGAAACCGGTCGTAGTGTCGTTTACTCCTCGCTTGAGCTTCTTTCATCTCGTAAAACTGCGATTTGCGTATGAGGACTTTCATCAGACTCACCCCATCCACCACGCCGGGATCGTGCATGATATCCTTGATCTGCATGGTGGTCAGCTGGTGGTACGGGATGGCGTCCGCCCTCAAACTGTTCACCAACTTGCAGCCCAGGATGAGCACGCGTGGATTGACGGCCGTCGTGAGTCTCGACACGTCCAATGTGGCATCCGGGGTGGAGATGGCCGCCAGCCCCACCTTCCATCCTTCCCCCTTCAATTCCAAAGGCACGGGCAGGCGCACTTTGAACGAACTGGTGGTGTTGGTGGGAAATTCTTTTGTCGGATCGCTGACCAACACGATGCGATTCATGCCTGGAAATGCAACGTCACTTGCGTCTCTCCCGGGGGGCCACCGGCGTGGTCGTCACGGGATGCGACGTCACCCCATGCGAGACCGTGTTGGGGGGTCCGGGTAAGTAGACCCCGGCCAAACCCACCTGCCAAACCCACCTGCCTTGATTTTATAGGTGGCCACGGGTCCCGGCACGGCCCGGTCGATGAGAAACACCTCTTCGGTCAAACCGGGCAGATACCCTTTCTCCAACGGACGGTGCTGTTTCTGCAAACGCACGCGATCCCCGGCTTTCCATTTGGGACGCACGCGACGCGCCAGACGTTTGCCGTACAAACGTTGCCAGACCTGGTGTTGGTTAGCCCACGTCACGTCGCGAGGGGCCATGCCGATGCTGCGGTGTTTGGTCACGTTGTAGCCCTGCACCAACGCGGGTAAGGCGTCCACGTACCGGTACGTGTTGCGGGCGGTAAAGTAACGGTACATGCGTTCTTTCAAGGTCCGATTGAATCGTTCCACCACCGACGCCTTGGTATCCCCGTAGGTCGAGAAATGATGAATCTTCCGACGCGTCATCAGGGCCTGAAACGTGCGGTTGTAAAACTCTTTGCCGGCATCCGTCTGCAATCGCACGGGGTGGCGTCCTCGGGCGCGTTTGAGGATGCGGTCGAACGCCGCGGCCACTGCCACGCCCGTCTTGCTCTTCAACGGTTCCACCCACGCGTACTTGGACAACACATCCACCACCGTCAACAAATAGCGCATCCCCCGATTCCATTTTTTCAACGGTTGCATCTCCACCAGGTCGGCCACCCATTGGTCGTCCATCCCATGCACCACCACCGGCAGGGTAGGGAAACGTCGTCGTCGCGGTTTGTGCAAGGTGTAACTCAACAACCCTTGCAATTTCGCACGGGCACGACTCACCGGCACGCCGTGCGCTTGCGCCAAACGCGCGACACCCCCCAAACTCCCGCGCAACGAGGGTGTTTCGTAGGCGTCCGCCCAATTCACGCGGCGCTTCTTCTTCCTCATGTCACACGCACGCGCTGCAATCACGACAAGACACAGTCGACTCTCTTTCTTATCTTTTTTATTGGTTTAAACTATCACGGCGTGGCTGCCACCAGGCAGGGTCCGATCGGGATTGGCAGTTCAATCGCTCCAGCCCGTCGGCGGTGAAGACACTGCCGCGCCACACTTTGGGTTTCCCCTCCAACCAATGCTCGCGCAAGTCTCTCAGCACCCGCGGACTCTCGGGATGATGACCGTCTTCCCCCTCGTACCGGGCGTACGCCAACAGCAACACTTGACGGCGGGCTTCCGGCGTGCTGGCCCCTTGATACTCCTCCCAAGCGCCGTGCATCCACGGGCGATACCTCAGTCCCTCCAAAATGCCCGGGGAGGTCAGGGTGTTGTATCCATTGTCGCACATCATGAACCCCTTGGTCGCCGACCCGTCCACGCCCTGCATTCGGGCGGCCAAGCCGTCTCGTTTGGCCCTGGGGAGGTGGCTGCTGTTCCAGTCTTCGCCACGGACGCGACGACGCATCTTGCCCGACAACGGGAGGTTCAACCACAGGAAACAGCGACAGCGTCCGTCGCGACAGGCCAGGTACATGCGCTGTGGGTTTTTCTCCGACCCGCTCTTGCTCAGCGATAACCGTCGATCGCAAAAACACGTCAGCTCATCCCATCGTTGACGCAATTCCTCGTGCAACTGTTGGGTCACCAGGGTCATCCATTCGTCCACGCGGTCTTGGGGACTGAACACGGGACACGTGTCGCGCGGGCAGTAGACATAGACAAACTCGTCCTTGCGGCCCTCGGACAAGGCCTCGTCGGGATGTAACGGGCACATCCACACCCCGGGTCGGTCCACCGGCGCGTACGGGACGGGATCCGTCTGCGTGGCCTGATCCATCTCGTTCAAGAACCAGGCGGCCAACTCGCCTTCCTCCAACACCTCCGTCTTGTCTTCCAAAGCATCCTCCGCTCGACGTTTCTTGCCTTTGGCACGACCGGCCGGCACGGGTGCCGGACGCGTGGGGTGTCTCGTACAAGCGGCCATGATGAAAGTAGGCCGAAAGGACCGCCCCGCGCCGTTTTATACTCCCTGTCGATCACGTGTCCCCATGACGTCCCCCACGCCTTATAAGGGCCCAAATCCCCGTGATTGGTCAGGTCGGGCTCCGCCCCCGCGTGCTCACACCTCCCAGGGCGCATGACGGCGCGTGACATGGCCCGTGCCTCCTTTGGCGCCTATGCACTTGTAATCTTTCCTCTTGCCCAATTGATAACCGATCTTGGCCGATTTGGTCAGCAGGCCCAACAAACCACGCCCCGACATCGTGATGGGGGGACCGCGGCGGCGGCGCCTTCTTCTCCGTCGGACTCGTCTCATGATTGGCCGGTCTTGCCTTCCCCCTACTCTATAAATACCCTCTCTTTCCCCGAGTCCAGGCCAGTCATGCAAAAAGGTCCCGTGTCACGACCGTCCAGGCGACGGAGGAGAAAACGTCGCTCGCTCGGTACCATGCCCACCCTTCAGGACTACACGGTCTACACCCCCGACAACCAAATCGCCGACCTGGCCGAATGCCAGGGGATGACCGTTCACCTCATCGACGGTCCGACCCAGCACGTGCTCCGCGACGCGCACACCGTCTACCTCTTTGGGTCGTACACACCCCTACGGGACATGGACGACACCGGCTGCGTGACCGAGCTAGCCTCGTCCTCGGGCAAAGCGTTGTTGCTGTGTGACGTCACGACCGGGCAATGGTATAAACGCGCCCCCAGCGACCAGACCTTCACTCCGCTCTCGACCTCGACCTTTCCGGTGCTTCATCCACGCAGTGCCGTCTTGGGCATCCGTTCCCTGCCGCTGCACCACCTGCAACTCACCTCGCTCTTCCAACGCACCCGAGACACGCTGTCCCCATGAATGCCGAGTATCATCGACGTCTACGCCTCGACGAGTATCTCCGCGAACGCACCCGACGAGGGTGGCAAGCCCATCACGATCACACCGAGATGCTCCTTCACCTGCAAGATCAATACCGAGAGGCTTACAAGCGCTACGTGCAAGACCTGGCGCAACGCGATCGACCCGAGCGATGATCAATAAAATGTGTTTTTTTAATCTGAGGGTTGATCATTGACTTTTGCAAATGTGGGCGGGACCCCAAAGGGGGTCCCTGATAAACATTGAAGGGTGAGGGTTTAGGTCTTGGGGCGGCGAGGGCGGAGTCTCTTTAACCAGTCGCGTTGAGCCCACACGTTGTCCACACGCCGCATCTTTTTTCGAAAGGCCCGCTGGTCTTTCTGGTACTGCCTTTCTTCTTCGGCTTCCTCGTTGCCACACTCGTGAATCTTGCCACAATGAATGCAGTGCACGTAGGGCCACTCGGCTGCCTGGGTAGCCCGAAGGTAGTCGTCGTGGCCAAACGCTCGCCGGAACCACTGGTACAACCTGGGGTCCGCGTCTCTGGCAAACGCCCTTCGCATCAGTCTCCGATAAAAGTACCCCGTCACAGGCTCCAACATGTTACCATGGCGAGGGACGTAAAACCCCTTGAGATTGATGATCCGCTTCCGTTTGGGGCGCCGGGGTAAATAGCGCATCTCTCCATGGACCCTGTACCATCCATTCAAAGCACGATCCTCCGCCGTGGCCAATCGATACTCTCTCGCAATAATCAACAACACATCTTCGGGCAACTCGGGTAAATCGTCGGGAACAACATCATCATCATCGTCGGGTAAAACAACATCGTCCGGAAACAGTGAAATACCAAAAGGTAAAGAGTCCGCCATCTTTGAACCAAGACCAACTGCAGACAACCCGAGTCGCGACCGGTCCCACGTCTTCTACTCTGGGTCACGTGCCTTCCCATCCCCCCCGTTCGACCCCTCGAAAAAGAGGGGGATGGGGGGTATCCCCCCTCCTTTGAGGCCCTTCCCAGAGGGGCTTTGCGCCCCCTCCTATAGGTCCATATAAGTCCCCCTCCCATCGACCCTGCACCTCGACACGGATCACGCTGTTCATCGCGCCAATCACTGTATTCTCGTTGACCTTCTTCTGGGTCGCTATAGTGCTCCACACCCAAGTTCCCGATCATGGCACCCAGGGTCTTCAACCGAGACTACCTCGAAGAATACTTGGACGTGTTGTGGGAGTTGCGAGAAAACATCTCCATGGACCTGGACTGGGGCTACGAATGCCGCCTGAACCGCATGTGCGAGCAAGTGAGGCGCCAGTTGATCGACCCCCACGTGGCGGACAAGCAGCGACGATCGTGCGAATTCGCCTACACCACCTGTGTCCAAAATCTAGAGACGTGCCGGCAAAACCTAGAAGGCCTCAGAGATACTGTACGGTACTTGTTCGAACAGTCACCCGAAGAACATCCCAGTACCCACGCCCACTACCAAGACATACTCCACAGCACCGAGGACCAAGAAAAGGGACTACTCCACATCCAAGCCGTGTTCCGAAGTCACCTGTGAACGCTCTGACCCCAGCACCCAGCACCACCACCGCAAGTTCGGATCGCTTATTTGTACCATGTAGGGACGCCCCACACCACTGAGGTCGGGCACACGTTCCCGCTTGTAAAACGTTAGGGTTCAAGTGTAATAAACCTGAGTTTGAACACTGTGCCAAAAAAAATTTTTATTTTTTTTTCCTTTTTTTGAATTCCCTAGGGAATACCCACGTGACCACCGGGGAGAGACTCTCCGGGGGGGACCTCGACCCAGCCCCAACCTAGGGTTAGGGTCAGGACCCAGGAAAACACCGTTGACCCCCCCCCCAAAAAAACCCAAGTTTATGGTGTGCGCATGCGCCCTCGCGAATTCTCTCTTAGGGTTCCCACGTGGACGAGACTTCAAGTTCGTCTACCAATATAAGAGCCCTTAGGGTTAGAGTTAGGGTAACAGGGCGCTAGGGTTAGGGTTACAGGGCCACACCCCAACGTGACACGAGGTCACTTTTACAACACGTCATCACCCCTATGACGTCACTCATGAATGATTGACAGCTCATTAGACGCACTCATTAACTAATGAATGATTGAGAGCTCATTAGCGTCATGAAATTGACAATTAAATCACTAATGATGATTGACAGGTCACATGACCTTCTGCTGCACGCTGATTGGTCCATTTGTACCACGTGACCTAAATCCGGCTCTCTGATTGGTCTGTACCGTAGTGGCCCCTCTTACTACTGCTATGTAAGGTTCGATCGTGCCGATACAAAGTCAACAATACCCCAACTTACTCATCATCACTTTTGTTGCTTTGCCCACGAACAGTTGTGTACGACTTTCCAGCTCGCGTTTTTAGGCCCAGTGCAGCGACTTCTAATACGTGGCGGTTTAAGCAGACGCTTTCAAACCCTGGATGGAGGGTTATGCATACGGTCCGGTCTCCAATGGCTTCTTCCATGACCTCTTCGCAGCGATCGATCTCTTTGCAGCAAATGCTCTCCTGCGCTTTTGTAACAAGGCTGACAGAGCAGTTTGAGCACGAACACCTGCAAAATGATTTGAAAAATTCGTCAAACACAAGAAAAATACGTCTGTATAAGATTATTAATTGTCTGACCTCTTCAATAAAACCATCGCATAAAATCAGGACTACAGCTAATCACATGGCAACGAAATTGTAAACTTAAACAAAACACATAGTCGCGTTCGTCACGCGCACGATTTAACGACGGGTATGTTGAAATTGGAAAATAAAAAAACAAATCTACATTCCATGATAATACCATACCATTCATTCGCTGGCACCTCTCCCGATTATCTTCGTTGAAACTGTTGTTCCTCTTCTTCTTTGCGATGAACTCTTTCGTTGTAGTCCGCGGCTTCTTCCTCGGTAGCAAGGGGTTCGCAACTGTCGTCGTACAGCGCAAATTCAGACAATTCCCCAATCACTTCGTCAACTGTAAAACTTTCTAGATCACTTTCAGATGTGCAGGATGAGGAATCCGACGGAGATGACATCTTAAACGTCTTGTTAAAAGGCTCTAAGCTCACAAACTTTTCCCAAATGCGAATCTTTTGGTTGATGTTTCTACGTCACAGTGCATAAATCACGTGGTCAAACGCACGACCGCTTTGCGGAGATCTCGCGGGCTATTGTTTTGCGAACTTTGTAATGGCGGACGGTATTTACGCACTTTTCAGTGGGAAATTTCCAGCCCCCGTACGCAACTATCGTTCCAATTTTTCGCTATTTGTATAATTTTGAACATATACAAAAGATTTATGTTAAAAAAACTCGGAAACAAAAACAAAAATTTTCGTCGTAGTAGCACTTTAAACATTAATTTTCTTTGTATTTTCTTTATGAATTATTTATGAGTTTGAGAACTCGAATTCCCTCACGTACGAACGACGAAAGGGGGCAAAGTCCAACACTTTCACGTGCCAGCTGTGTGACTGTACATCTCATGCAGATTGGCTTTTCACAATGATAACAAGAATCGCCGAAAGGCGATTTTTAACTGGGCTTCAAAGGGGCTATTTTTTCTGAGGGGAGGGGGCGGCTATACACACTCAGACTACCATAAAACCTTGTCGGCAACCATTGCATGCAACAGAATCTCATGTGAGACTGAAAGATAAACTCATTCAGAACATTGTACTCTTTTGAAAGACTTTCGTAATCAAAAAAAAAAGAGTACCATTTTTAAGTGGGGGCTGTATAATAACTTTTAAATTCAACCATTATGAATAAAAATAAACAAGTTAGCCATTAATTCTAAACAGGAAACAATTTGCATTATTTCCACGCACCCCTCCCCCAATCCCTTGTCCTTCTACGAGCATAAAATGCGACAGACTGAGCTGATTTACACTAGACAGAAATATTGTAACCAGAAGTATACTAAAACAGACAGGTAACTGCCCATTGATCCCGCCTGATCCAGGGGCCTCACTGCCTGCACGGAGACTTTACTGCGCTTTTCACAAACATGCGAACTCTAAAGTTCAAAAGCCACCTTCACAATTGTGTTTATCGCTGCCGTCAATCATAATTACGATCACAAGCAACGAACCTTGAAACAGAGAAACACACAAAACGGATCGAAATCCACAAATCACAAACCATGACCTTTTGAACCCGTGAAGTAAAGTTTTGTTTCCTAAGAGGTCCGTTAAGATGATTGACAGCAGCGAAAAACGCAATCGTCGGTTGGGTTCTGAACTCCAGAATTCGCATGTTTGTGAAAAGTGCGATCCTAATTTGCGGTCCACAGTCTACATGAAAACGCACTATTTTTTCCACAAGATGAAAGGTATTCAGTTTTAAGATTTTCCTCACGGTTTTTTTCTCTATCTTAAAGGAATAAAATCCTTTGCATTTTGCGACCTAAAAAAGTTTAAAGATTTCTCGCTCGCATGTTGCGTTCACCAGCACGCACTTCAAACAATGTAAATAGATGAAACGATCGATAACATATTTTTTACCTGATACCGATGTGAGTTAAAAATTCGCTCCAGTTCTGTTTGTCTCGCCCAAGACTAACTTTTCTTCATGGAAACTATGCCGCTTTATAACTCGTCCGAGGTTTTTGTGCCAGCTAAACAATATGGAAACACTATTCACAGCGACTCCTTGGATATTAAAAAGACTGAACGTGACGCACTATTATGCCTTTGTTTACAGTCAAACCAGGTCAAGCGTTCCCGTCGCTAACAAACTAATGAATTCATTAATGGAAAAATGATTTCGTTTGTTGATTCAATAATCCATTCATAAAATGAATAATGCATCAGTCAATTCCACCTGCGCCCAGCCCCCGGGCTACTGCGGGGCATTTGCCCGCCTTGTCAGTCCCGGGGGTGGGGCATTTGCAAATTTTGCACTGCCCGGGGGCCGGGCATTTGCCAACCCCCGGGCCATTCCCGAGCTTTTGACACGCACGCGGTTTCCTACCAGAATATAACTACACAGAAGGTTTTACTGGAAAAAAAGCAGATTGGCTCATCTGTCAAGGACAGGAATAAATTGTAGAGGGTTGTAAAGGCATGTTCTCAATTTTACATGTATGTATGCATTTCTTCATTGCTTATCAAGCCAGAATTACATAGCGAAATTGGAGCTATCGATGTGAATCAACGTTTTTTGGTTATTGAATCAAAGTTCCGTTGATATTATTTGAAGAACACCCTTTCATATTTGTAAAACTATTCATAACATATAACTTTACAGCGCTCTATTAATTTTAATATCAATAATTTTATATCAATACTAAAACCGTAAAATGGTGCATGTCGTCGCGGCGTGAAGTCTTAATTAGAATCCTAGGGCTATTACAAAGGAATTAAGACGTTAATTGAAACAAAAAATTGCACTTTAAAATGGCACTATTGGACTGTGCGATCAATAAAAAATGTTGCACTGTTGACGGAGGACGGGGCATTTGCCCTCGTTTTTCTTCCTCACCCCGGGGGATTTGCCAGCTCAAGAGTCCCCACCCCCGGGAATTTGCCATCCATGGCAAAAAAAATGCTAATTCCCGGGGGTAAGCCCGGGGGGCGGGGGGCTGGGCGCAGGTGGAATTGACTGATGCATAATCCAACGGTCAAATTGTACCTCGATTCAATAATCAAATGTTGATTTGGTTTATGAACAAAATCTACCTGTTCTTTATTCTTGTCTGTTGTGTTCAATCGTATTTGCTTCCCTTTTCCTGCCGTTTACAATTGCGTTTTTCATTGCCTTTAATCAAAATAAAAGCTAGAATAGACAGACCGCAAACGCAAAGAAACTGACAAAGGCCGAGGATCGAAATCCACCAATCACCGCACATACACTGACCTCAGTTTGACCGTCGTGTTTTCTAAGAGGTCAGGCGTAGGTCTGTTGCACTGGCGTACATGTAACAGTTTGTTCGGGTTTGAACTTCAGAACTCGCCAGCACTCGACTCTCAGAAAAAAAAGAGGAAAAAACAAAATTCTGAGGTCAACTTGTGGAAAGTGTAATTTTTCAAAAAACAGTAATCGAATCAACATTCGACTATGGAATCGAGGCTAAATATGACTATTGGATTGTTCATTTTAAGAATGGATTATTGAATCAACAAACGAAACCATTTTTCCCTGAATGAATTCATTAGTTCGTTAGCGACGGGAACGCTTGACCTGGTTTGACTGTAATTCTGATCACATCTTCAAGCGAAGTCTCTCTTTTCAAGCGATTCATCTCAATACACAATAATTGACCCTTATATTAGTTAAAATCCTATGGTTCATTTATATTAATGCTGTTTTTGCCCCTCACATTGACTGTGTTCGTTCGTATTCAAAACACCTTTACGAAAATAAAGGTCGTATAAGTCATGTGTGTTATGTTTCGAGATAAATGGATTATACGCTTTTTTAAGTTTCCATTTTGCGGTGACTTCAGTTTACATCTCCATAAAATGGTAAAAGAAATATCAAGAAACATCACGAGAGCTGAAAATTTTCAAAGGCATGTTTCTGAAACTCGATAATGCTGACATCAATATAGCGTGCTTGCTGAATGGACGAAAACACAGAATTGTGATCACAAGATCTTGTACAAATTTAATGACAAAAGCTTAGCAAGATACAGATACAAACAAAAGCAAACCCCCTGAAACCTCGACGTGGGCTACACTTGTATGCTCTACTCAGTCACCAAACCTTGTCAGTAATTATAGCTCCTATTTTCCTCAAGTCGCTCTCTGTGAAGCTCCCGGATGGGATGTCCCGGAGAAGCTTTAAACTTATGTGCGAAATTCTCAGAGTTCCTATTTTTGTCCGTGTCTTCTTTATCCCCAGTATCCAAAATTTAGATCTCCAAAGTGGCGTGTGTTGCATTAAATAGAAGGAAATATTTAAAGGAAAAGCCAGTCTTCTAACATGGCAAAGTTGTCACGTCCCTCGCTTATGGACGTGTCTCACATCAGGATTCATCTGCCATTCATCGGCAACTGAGTTGTTCGCTTCACTGACTATGACGGCTTACAATCAAGTCTTCAGCCATAGTGTCGTCAACTGGTGAAATACTTTGCTCATAAATTGTGCTTCTTAATTGCTCATGTACTACATCGATCGATAATTCACGAAGCAGCCGCGGCGTTCCAAACCTGACGCTCACAGTCATCTTTTCAGTCTTTTAGTGTGAACCTACCGTGAACGGCGTGTCGGTTTGAATGCAACGCGAGCATTTCTCTGAGTTTCCCAGCGCCAACATCATCCAACTGACTTAAGCTCGAACAATAAAAAAATTATAGAGTTACTCCCATGGTCGAATAGCTTCGAACAACGCAAATAGCCTTCTTCAGGTTCGCAACGCCTTGTGGGTTTTTCAGGGGGAGCGCAGACAAGGTACAAAAAGTATCCGTGCAAGGGTTCATGCAAGAGAAAACCATATTAAACCATTTGTGAGAACATCGTTTCTACGTACCAGACCCTCGTGTTTTCCCTCCCCCGGATGACCACTTTGTGACACCGACGACCGAAAACCCATTTTATGACTGGGCTTGCCGGGCAGC